CAGAGGGAGGTCATAGGGGTTAGACTGGCCCCTGAAATCCTGCCTCCCAGGCCAGCAGGGCAGACACCACTCAGCAGCACTGCCCCTCAGCCATATTGTAGCTCCAGAGCTATTATGTGCCCTTGACCCAGCTCAGAGCTTACGAGACAAGCGAGCCAGGGCCCACAGTGTGACCCATGAGGGTCTCCATTACTGGGCAGTGAGGGGACTTGAACCTAAGAACATCTTGGCTTCTCTTGGGAGCAGATGCATGAACGGGGGGTCCTAACGAGTTAAAGCATAGGTCCAGCAGAGGGGCAGCACAGAATCACCACCTGTGTATCTGATGAGCATTAGATTCTACCACGGGCCGAGGGGACACTGTCCTGGCCAGGGGGTGTGGTCAGCAGAGGTGGGAACCCTTGCTGTGGGTGACCCTGGGGCTGTGAGTGATGACAGCAAGCAGCTCCTGGGGCTGGCGGGCGCTCAGAGAAGCTGGCCTTGCACATGGATACACAGAGGAAGGCAGCTTCAGATACAAACTGGGGAAATGCAAGGACAGCCCCTGTGCCATCTCCAACAGGAGCTGGGCCTGGCAGTGAGCCTCACGCCCCCAGCGGGCAAGCGAGGATCAGGGCAGAAGTGGCCTTGCAGCCCATGCCTGTCAGTCCCACCCCCTGGCCCTGGCCCCACATTTTAAAGAGAAGGAAACAGGGGTCCTACTAGGGTGGTGCCAACCTTTTGCCCCTCTCTGCTACACTGTCTCTCCCTGGGAAACAGGAAGGCTAGATGCCAACGGCCAGGGGTGGCTGTGGTCACCATGTCTGCCTCTAGTCCAGAAGGTGTGGACATGCCTTCTCTGCCACCCTTCTGGGGACCAACCAGGAGCACAGAGCCAGGGTTGGTTGGAGTCTCTCAGGTCTAAAGTAGAGGGGCCAGGGGTCCTCTCCAGCAAAATGGGATGTGGAAGGGCCCTGGGAAGACTCCTGGCCACACAGTCCAGAGCGGGTTCCTCACTGCCTTTCTTGCAAACACCTGTGGATGTGGGATGTGGGGAGTAAGGGGTGGGACCAGCACACTGGGGGACTGGGCCTCCATAACTCACGCCAACCGGCCTGGCTGAGGGGATCAGGGCTAAAGCTGAGGGAACCTGTCCTGGCAGCTCTCTGTCCACATGGCCAGAGGGTGGCCCTGCAGCAGGGACAGGGGCTACCCGTGGAGGGCCTCAGAGCCTTGACCGAGCTCTTGGTGAGGCTGCTGGAGGGAGCCTGCTGGCGTCTCCAAGGCCCCACCCTGTGCCGTGGCTGCTAATAGTCGCGCTGTAGCACTTTAGGGTAGATTCTCCAGGGACGTCTCTAAAAGAGAGTTATACCTTAATTTAGAAGCAAAATAACTCAAAACTGTGCGAGGCAGCAGGTTCCTTTGGAAAGGAGGCGAATTCAAGGAAGCCATTGTCTCATGGAGTGACTGGCCCTGCTGGCTTTGGGCTGGTACGGGCCATGCCAGATGCTGCTGGGAGGGGCTGGGGAAGGGTGGTGACAGCTTACAGTGGGCACTTGGGGCTCTCTGGGCCAGGAGGCCTACAGGCTGTTCTGACTAGCTCTAGTGCCTTGAGGGAGGAACAGAGTGAGGTATAGGCAGCAGGCCAATAGGCCTTGGAACCCACCTAGGGGACACCACCCCCACCTCTACAAGGCCCACCACAGCCCCAGCCATCCCTGGTGGCTCCAGGGGTAAGCACTTGAGTGGTCCCACAGGACCCTGTACCTGCCATCATCGTATTGACAAATCAACTCTAGAGCAAGGGGGCCATAAATTGATATAGCTTGGTCCCCAGGCAAATTGTTCCCAACGCTCTCCCCCCTGCCCTGGTGGTACTGCCCCTTCACCCACTGGCCAGTGTTTTTTTTTTTTTTTTCCAATCCCTTTCTCTAAAAGCCCTGAAACCTCTTCTGACCCTGATGGCCTCAGCCAGACACCAGATATCAACAAGAGCCATAGATCTCACTTTCTTCTTTCCCCACCTCTCACAAAGCAACCGTCTTCTCCCACCTCCAAAATCTTCCTTTCCGCCAAAGCCAGCTCCATCCTTCCGCTGGCTCAGGCCAAAGGTCTATACACCATCCTTGCCTCTTCTCCATCAGCAGGCCGACCTGCTAGTCTTTCAATAGTCTCTCATCCTAACCACTCCATTTCCATCCCAGTTTCTCCCTGACCTTGGAGTGCCATCTGGAGCCCAGGTGAGGCTGTCTGCTTTGGGCCTTTATACATGCCACTCTCTCGTGGGGGCTCTCCCCTCCACCATCAGCCATACTGCCCATCCTTCACGTCACAGCACCACCCATTCCACAGCACCCCCAGCCTCAACTCTCGCTTTTGGGTCTATCATGCCCTGGCTCGTCCCACCTGACACTCAAGTACATGGGTGTGACCATCAGCCTTTCCTGTTGGATGTGAGCAGGTGTCCCTATCCCCCCACCCCTTCCTTGGCACAGCGCCTGACACGCAGCATGTGCTGGCACACCTTAACTGAGTGAACACACAGATGCAGGCATTGTATGAGGTTCTGCTTGCTGGGTGCTAATGGAGGGCTGGCTCCATCTAAAAGGTGAGGACGAGCAGGCTTTGAGATGGCCCGTCTGTCCATGCAAGCTACAAGCCTGCCTTCGCTCCGGGTTCCTGCCAGGGGCTGATCCCAGTGTCTGCCTTGGTGCTTGGAACCAGGCATGGAGCTCAGGGGCTACCCTGGGAAGCTCAGCCCCTCTATGTGTCCTTTCAGGGAGCTTCAGGACAGCAGTGGATTGCTGGGGGATAGCCACGGTCAGCAGAGGCAGGCATACCTTTACAGCCACCCAGTGTCTTGAGGCTTGAGGCCAGCACAGGGCAGCCTCGTCCCAGGGCCACCCACTGTCATTCACACATCCAGACATGCCCCACAGACAAGGAGTATACAGCCCTTCCCAGGGCAGGTGGCAGCGTCCTCTGGAGCCAGGAAGCAGCTCCAGGGCAGGAGGGGACAGCATCCACCCAACCCCCACAGCTCACTCAGCTTCTGTCTTAGAACGGAGACGTGTGTTAGAGGAACACAGGGGATGAATTCAGACCAAATGCCAGTATCTCCTCATCCCTGCAGGAGGAAGCACGCACGGGAAGGCTCACGCTTCATCCAGCCAGGCGTGGCTAGGCCCGACGCTCCCTCACCTCCCCCCCATACACACCACCCCTAGACGTACTCTTTCCTGGCGGCCATGGCTGCCGCTCCCCAACATCCACCACCCAGAGGCACGGTCACCAGCTGAGCACAGTCCTCCAAAGCCAGTAGCTCCATCCAGCCCCGCTCAGCCCAGCACCCAGCACCCTGGGCCCCGCCCAAGGGGTGAGGCACCTGGACAGGAAGGAATCAAAGGTTGTAAGGTTTTTTTTTTTTTTGAGCTCCCCCACTCTCCAAGGCTTCCCCAGCTCACAGGGGTTACAGAACTGCACCCCTCTGACAAACAAGGAGGCCACCATACACACTGAGACAGACACGGCTTCCCCGGCACCTGCAGGCCACCCCCACCTTCCCTGGCTGGGCAGCCCCACCTGCCTTTCCCGCCACACCTCCCCCTCCTCCTCCTTCCTAACCACACACCAGGTGCCCACTAGACCCAGCTGATCGGGCATCTTCTGTGCCCCTTGTCTCCTCTGCCCACCCTCAAGTCCTTCAAAGCTCCAGTTCAAATGTCACAGTGCCCACAATGCCCCATCCAAGACCCTGGCACCTCTCTCGAGGTCTCTGGGTTATCAGAGCACAGTCCCTCTCCTGGCCCTCTCCCGGACTCCCCTCCTGTCCCAGGCTTTGGAGGGCAAGCCCAGTCTACCACTCACACCCAGTCCGCCCCAGCGCCAGATCCGTGATGATAGCGATGGTGGGCAAGCGAGCACTCAGTAACTATTTATTTAATTGCATTTGGCCAAGGAGCCTCTTCTAGACAGGGCCAGGAGAAGCGGCCCTGGATCCCCAGGGCAAGGAAATCACTTGGGCAAGAGAGAAGCAGGTGGTGTGAGGCTGTCTCCCCCAAACCAGGCAGACAGACCAGGCAGGTCTGTCTCCCCACCCTGAGAATGCCCACTCCAGGGAACCCTGGTCTCGAGCCTGGCACCGCCTTCCCATCCTTCTCCCACCCCCCATCCATGTAGCAGGAGTCCCAGTTCTCGGCCTAGGCGGATTTCTGCCACCATCACCCAGAAAAGGCTCAGCAACTGCCTCCCCCCTCCTTCCCCACCCCGATCGCCGCAGGATACTAAGGCCCAGCCCCTGAGGCCTGAACAGCCCTCCCTACCCCCTCCTCCAAACATCCCTACCGCCTTTGGTGAGGGGGTGGGGGGCGCGGATATCGAGCTGGGAACATCTGACAATCGCAGCAAGTCGATACTCTTGTCTCTCGTTCTATATGCCTCCGAGGAACCTGCTCATCCCACAGAGCAATGACCGACAACTGCGAGCCGTCCGTCCCCTGGAGCCCAGGCCTCTCCTCTCCCTCCTCTGCTCCATTTCAGCCGGGAGGGGAGTCAAGCGGCCGGTGCTTCGACCACCCGGGGAGTCGGCCGCCTTCCCTGTCATCCCACCCTCCCACCTTCCTAAAGGGAGACCGTAGGCTCGGGGCGCCGCTCCAGCAGGTCCGCCCCGGCCACCGCGGAACGAACGGCTGTTACCCACTGCCCATCCACCCCCGGCCCGCGGCAGCCGCCCTGCTCGGCCCGACGCGCCTTCCTCCCCTCAGCAGCACCTGCTATGTGGGGATCGCGGGGCCACCCATCCTCCTTCCTCCCGTGCCCACAGAGCAGGCAACCGGGCAGCCGCCACCTTCCCCCAATCCGGGGTCGGGCATCCTCGACGCTGCGCCCCCCTGGCACATTCCCCCAACACAAAGGCCCCAGGGGGTTGAGAGGGTGCGGTGCGGCGGATGCCCGCCCGGGGGGCCGCGCCCCCACGACCCCTCTCCGATTGAGCTCCACACCGAACCGCCGCTTTCACTTACCTCAGCAGGGTCGCTGTATACCGGGGCATCAGCTGCTCCGGGCGGAGCGCCGGGATGGCGCGAGGCGGCGAGCGAGCGCCGGGCCAGCACACAGGCGCGGGGGGACGTGACCGGACCGCGGGCGGCGCACACGCTCCGGCCGGCCGGCCTGGCTGCCTCCGCCCGCCCTCTCCCGCGCCGCCCGCCCGCCCGCGGGTCCGCCCGCCCCGCGCCCCGCCGCCGCGCCGCGCCGAGCTGCCGCCGGCAGGAGGCGGAGCCGCGAGCGCAGCTCGTTGCCAGGCCAACCGCGGGCAGGAGGGGAGGACGGGGGCCGCGCGCCCGGCCGGGCACCACGCGCGCCGGGCGCCGCCGCTCCGCCACGGGCTCCGGCTGGCTTGCCCATTGGGCACGGACGGGCAGACGGACGTCGGAGCTGTCCAGTGGAGGCGGGCAGGGGCGGGGCCGCGGCTTGGCGCGTGCCGCAGTCCCGCACGCCGCTGCCTGCCGCCCGCTCCGGCGGCTCCCCGACTGCGCCGCCGCCGCGCCGGAGAGGCCGAGCCGCCCGCCCCGCCGCCCGCTCGCCCTGCTGTGCCTCTCCCGGCGCGGGAGAGTGAACCTGAGCGCCGCCATGGGCTCCGGTCCCACCCCCACCCACCCTCCCATCGTGGCCGATCCTGCTGGCCTTCCTCTGGGCTCGGGGGTTCGAAGCCAGCCCAGCCGCTTCTTGTTTCGCCCACAACCCCCCTGCCCCCATCTTTCTCTGTCTCTCTCTTTCTCAGCCTTGCTGTTTGCAGAGTGAGGTTCGTAGCATCTGCTTCCCCGGATTGTCGCCTCTGGGAAACCCTAAAGGCGTAGAGCGGTGAGGTGGGTGCCGTAAGGGAAAGGGGGACATTGGTCAGCTTTGCGGTTGTGGCTCCCAGTGCGTTGTAGACAACATTCAGCAGTCGTGGCCTACGGTGAGGTTGCATTGTGAGGAACGGGAAGGGGGCACGGGCCTAGGAGCTGATCTCCCCAGTTCATAGCAACCAGGAGGGACCCTGCTCATATGAGGTCAGGGTCCACTCCTGCAGAGGCCTCTGTCCCCCACAGGTGCTTCTAGGACCCTCCAGCAAGCGTCCGTGTTCAGGCTGCACGTGAAATATCTCCTCCCGGTTTCTTTCCCCATCGGTATAACGTGTAGACCACTGCAGTGTGCAGCCTAGGGTCGGGGCCCACTTGGGCAGGGTGCTATGGTTAAGAGACGGACAAGTGCCGATTGTGCACAACCCTGGAGCTGGCACAGAGCTCCCTGGAGGTGACAGGAGGAACGTGGTCAGCAGGGCACATGCACGGGGCTTCCTCCATGTCTCCTCTCACTGGCCCAGCAGGTGTACCACCTGTTTCCTGTAGCTTGGATGGGGAAGGGAGCGCAGTCTGAGGGTTAGACATTCCTCTGCAGCTGCAGGTTCCATGGCCAGGGATTCAGCCAACTATGGGGGTGGAAGTTGGAGGGGTAAGAAGAATTCACATCTGTCTCTAACATGTGCAGACATTCTCCCAACTCTCCCCCGCCCCAACCCTGCCATGCTGAACTCAGCTATCTTAATCATCAAGATGATTCCGAGCGTGTAAGAGGGATGTGTGCAGCTTATAAACCAATATGGGGCCGGGGCATCCACCATTTGCACAAGCAAAACCAGATGTAAGAGTGGGGTACCTCTCTGGCAAGGGGTGGGGGATTGCCTGCTGTTCATCTGACTTGACCCCAATGCTGCCTGAGATTAAGGGAGACCTGGGACCGTCTCCAGATGGAGCTGAAGTTCTTGAATTTAGACCCTGGAGTTCCAGGGAAGGGCTGGCTCTGAACATGAAGGGACCCAGAGAAGCTGTGCATCACCTGAGCCAACCAGGGCAGGGGGACCTGCGGAGACTCTCCAGCTCTCTGCTCATGTGCAGGGGGAGAAACAGCAGAGGATGACCCAAGTGCTTGGGCCCCTGCATTCACATGAGAGACCCCTAGGAAGTCCCTAGCCTCAGATGGGCCCAGCCCCAACCGTCACAGCCATTTGCAGAGTGAACTGACAGAAGATTCATCTCTCTCCCCCTCTCTCTGTAACACTGCCTTTTTTTTTTTAAGATTTTTATTGGAAAGTCAGATATTGGGGCCCGGAGCGGTGGCGCAAGTGGTTGAGTCCTCGCCTTGCACGCCCGGGATCCCATATGGGCGCCGGTTCTAATCCCGGCAGCCCCGCTTCCCTTCCAGCTCCCTGCCTGTGGCCCGGGAAAGCAGTCGAGGACGGCCCAAAGCTTTGGGAACCTGCACCCACGTGGGAGACCCGGAAGAGGCTCCTGGCTTCGGATCGGCATAGTATCGGCCATTGCGCTCACTTGGGGAGTGAATCATCGGATGGAAGATCTTCCTCTCTGTCTCTCCTCTCTGTATATCCGCCTTTCCAATGAAAAAATAATAAAAATAAATCTTTAAAAAAAAAAAAGAAAGTCAGATATACATAGAGGACGAGAGACAGAGAGGAAGATCTTCCTTCTGATGATTCACTCCCCAAGTGACCGCAACTGTGCCTATCTGAAGCCAGAAGCCAGGAACCTCCTCCAGGTCTCCCACACGGGTGCAGGGTTCCAATGCCTTGGGCCGTCCTCAACTGCTTTCCCAGGCCACAAGCAGGGAGCTGGATGGGAAGTGGAGCTGCTGAGATTAGAACCGGTGCCCATATGGGATCCTGGCGTGTTCAAGGCAAGGACTTTAGCTGCTGGGCCACCGCACTGGGCCCGAACACTGCATTTCAAATGGTGGTCTGCACTTTGTCCTCTGCTCCTTCTGGACCGGGGTGGTGGTAGCAGAATAGGGAGACAATTGTGGGGGCTCCATGGTAGCCAGAGGGAGGGGGTCCTAGAGACTGAGAACAGCTGGTACAGCATGCACACACACACACACACACACACACACACACACACACACACCCTCTGCCCACCAGGAAATGACCACATCTCAACCACAGGTGGTTTCAAGCCACAGGTATCCCAGATCTATGCTGACCCCGTCTGGTTCCTGGTTGGCTTGTAGCATAGTCCTCCATGCCTCTGCTAGTCTGGGCTCCCCCTCCCCGCAGCCTCCTCCTCTGTGAAGCCCACCTCCCTCCCTCCCTGCACATGCAGAACCCCTGAACTCCTGGCGTATACATATCACCCTGTTGCTGGAGTGACCTGTCCCCACCAGTTGTTCCACTTCCCAGGCCTGGCCTGTGTGGTGCCACCCTGTGCTGGCTGGCTGGCTCCCCTCTGTCCTTGTCTCCCCTAAACTCTGCAGTTCACTGACCCTCAGGCTGCAGCCCAGCCTGGGGGGCTTCTGCACCTCACCCCTGCATCATAGCAGGGGGAGGTCTGCCCATCCCACCTCCATGTGCACAAAATCCTCCCAGATCTGGGTTGATTATAAATAGCCAGGCCCGCCATCTCCTTTTAGCTAAAGAAGCAAAGCGACAAGGTGCGGCCGGCATGTGTTTTTATTTTTACTCCCCTCCCTCTGTCTCAGAAGGAACCCAGGGCCAGCGGCTGAGTATTTTTCAGAGCGTTGCACGTTCTCCCTAAAAGCCCCGTCTGTGCTGCGTGACCTTCTGCCTTCCGGCTGCCTCCTCTGTGCTTCCCTTTCCTCACCAGGGAGGGTGGACACCACCTCCACGTTCCACTCTGTCCCCTCCGTCCTACCACCCAGCTCATGCCCTGTCCCAGTCCTGGCTGCACGCTGGGATTACCTAGAAAGGTCAGGAAAGGAACTGAATGCCTGTGAGGCCACAGGCAGGTCCTGAATGGATGGGTGGATGGTGCCCAGTTTCCTCAGCACCCTCTGAGGGGAGCCTCTGCTCAGGTGTTTCCCAGCCCGGTAGCCTGTCCCTCCATCTGGCAAATGATCGATTGCCTGCTGTGAACTATGGGGTGTGTATGCACGAGGGAGGCCAGGCCGCGGCTCAGTGGGACAGGTAGGGGAGTTGTGGGCAGGTGACTGAGGCTTGGGCACAGCAGGGGCCAGGGGTGAGTATGTCCTGGTAGCAACCTGGCCATGGCGGAGGGTGGAGAACTCCCAGGCTACTGAGAGAGATGAGCTGACCCTGGCGAGGCGCGAGCAGGTGGGATAAGAGGGGGACCATGGCAGCTTTGGTTTTTTGTATACCACTCACGAGCCAGGCCCTTGTGTGTAATGGAGATAAACTGGGGAGCCCGGTTACATGGATGTGGAAATCCACAACACATGGAGTGCCTTCCCACCCAGTGATGAGGAAGCCAGAACCACAGAGGTTAAGTAATCGGTTCAGGGTCACACAGGGCGGGGGCAGAAGCGACAGGCCTAGGCATCTTTGGAAATCTGTGTGCATGAATGTTTTATTTCAAGCCCAAGTCACAGGAAAAGTGCCTTAAATGCTCCACCCTGGTTGCTCTGGGAGAAGCTATGAACCCTGCCAACCCCCGGGGCACCTGCCATTGATGTCCCCGGGGAAGGTGCGAGGGAAGGAGGCTGGAGTGCTGGCTTCAAAGAGGAAATCCCCTGTGCTAATTGGCACTGGAGACCTTTAGGCTAATTAACCTGTTTAATTGTCCATCTCCGATAGCTGGGGAGGGCGGAAGAGAGCCTGTGTGGACTGGCTAACCTGAGAGGATTTTGCAGTGGGCAGCAGCAAGGCCAGCCAGGGCCAGAGGCTGCGAGAGGGGAAAAGCACAGCCTCCTCCCTGGACTTAGTCCTCCTCTTGGGGGCTGGGGTGGGTTCTGGGTTCTTCTCCCCCCAAGCAGCCACATGTGGACATCACCCAGGAGGGAAGGGGCTGGGTGCCCTGTCGAGGGGAGGAGCTTGGCCTCCTGTGCTGTGCCTGGCACCTGTGCCCCCCAGCTGTGCTATGCTGGGATGGTGCCCTCCCCTGACATCCCCCCCACCCCCGTATGTTCCTGTCCCCTTGTGTAGCAGGCACAGCTCTCTGGCCTACATGCTTTGGTCCTGAACCTGTCCTGCACCCTAGGCTCTTCCTAGAGAAGGGTGAAGGCCTGCCTCCTCCCCCAGTACAGGGGTGGTGGCGAGTTGCTGGGTGTCTCCCAGGGGTGGCAGCTGCTGCTTGCTCAGATCCCTGGGTACTTCAGGCTCAGGCATCCAAAGGGTGCAACCCTGGGACCTCCGCGGTCAGCCCCAACGCGGCTCCTCCTCGTGGCTGTGCAGCCCCCACCCTTCAGCCCAGCACGCCCCTCTCCCCTCTGACCACCACTCACAGCCCCTGGCATCCGACAGGGGCCCAAGGCATCGTACGCAGCGGCCTGATTCCGGCTCTCGTGTGGAAGATGCAGAGGGAGGAGGAGGACATTCAGGAGCTCATCCTGGACACACTGGCCCCCTGCCTGCAGGTGGACGCCACCGAGGCCCTGAGCAGCCGCGCAGTGCCCTTCCTCAAGCAGAAGCTGCTCAGCGCCAACAAGGACATCCGCAGCAAGGCTGCCCGCGTGCTCATCGCCATCAGGTGAGGGGTTCCTACTGTCCCTGGGGTCGGGGTGTGGGAGAGAGCCTTTTCCACCAGGTCCTCTGCAGCCACAAATGCGTATGATTTGGCCCCAAGCTCTGTCCCTGGGTTGGGAGCCCTACCGCAACACACACACAAACACACACACACACACACACACACACACACACACACACACACACACACACACACATTCTGGCTCTGAGCTCTGACCCTGGGTGGGGAGGAGGGACAGCCCCACTCCAGCCTCAGAACCACAGCCGGCCTGCCATGTGTGAAGTGCAGTAGGCCAAGCTCACACTGCTGCTGCTCTGCATCCTGGTGCCATGCTATGTCCAGTCCCAGGCCAGCACAGGTGCTCCTTATACCCTGAATCCCTTTATGTCCCTCTGAGGTAATCCTGGGTCTTGCCCTCCCTCCTCCTGCCCCTCTACCAACACCACCACCCCTGACCAAACAAGGCCCACAACTATCCCCTCTCCTCCCCAGCATCCCATTGGAGGGCAAGAACCAGGTGTGTCAGTATGATGTCATCCCCATCCTGGTGCACCTGCTCAGGGACAAGGACACGGAGGTACAGGCCAATGCCGCAGGGGCTCTGATGTACACCGTGGTGACCACTGAAGGTGAGGCGGAGGTGGCTGTGCGGGGGGTCTCTCTGAGGCCAGGCAGATCCAGGCAGGTGGGGGGTGACCTTGGCATTAGCCTGAGTATTGCCCCTCGACCAGGACTTGCCAGTGAAGTCCTGTGAAGGCTTAGTTTGAGGCTCAGCCCTTGCAGGGCCTCCTGCCATACTGGGCACTGGCGGGGAGCGGGTGTGAGAACCTCAAGTGTTTTGCCACCTAAAGGAATGACTGGATTTACGTTAAAATACACACACACACACACACACACATATATATATGGGGCGGGATATTTGAAAGGCAGAAGGACAGGGGAAAAGAGAGCTCTTCCATCCACTGGGTCCACTCCCTACAGCTGGACTAGGCAGTAGCCAGGAGCCCAGAATGTCATCTGGGTCTCCCACGTTGGGTGGCAGGACCCTTGGACCATTGTCCGCTGCCCTCCAGGCACGTTAGCCAGGAGCTGCATCAGAAGCAGAGCAGCTAGGATAGAACCTGCAGTCTCATAAGAGATGCCAGCATCACAAGCAGGTGGCTTAACCTACCCCCTGGGTTAACATTTTAAAAAGAACACACTGTCTTGGGAGGATTAGAATGTGTGGGCGAGAAATAAGTGGAGGGGGCTAAGCTGTTAGGGATAGCAAGGGCAGCGGCTGAAGAGGGGCCTGGGCCCAGAGCCAGACTCTAGAAGATGCTGGAAGGTGCCGGGGGAGGTGACTAAGGAGCCTGGGGCTGGGTGGTTCCTACCCTAGAGACTGCACAGGCAGAGGGCTCCCCTCTGTCCAGCAGGCTCGGTAGTAAACCCAATGCTGGTGGCCTGGCAGGAAAGTATGCAGCCCTGGACGCCGAGGCCATTCCCCCACTCATGCAGCTGCTGTCCTCAGCCAAGAGCAAAGTGCGCCTGAATGCCACCAAGGCCCTCACCATGCTGGCCGAGGCCCCCGAGGGCCGCGCATACCTGCAGTCCCATGTGCATGTCTTCCGCGTCCTCGAGGCGGAGCAGAATGAGGCCATAAAGCGTGCGGCTCAGATCGCCATCAAAGTCATCGAGTGGAAGCCTTGAGCGCCTGCTGTGAGCCCAGTGTCAGAATAAAATGTGGAGTCATTCTCTCTGGTCTGAATGCTGCTTCTGTATCTGTGGGTCCTGTGGCCTGGGATGGCATGAAGGTGGGTTCTGCTCCCCGTTGGAGTCCAGAGACCCCTCGGAGGTAGACAGTGGTGTGCTCAGACCTCTGGGCACCAGGGTGGGTGGCAGCAGGAGCAGCCGCAGCCATAACAGGCAGCACCAGAGCTTGTGGTGCTCTGGCAACCAGGCCCTGGCCTCATCATCCCTGGTCAGTCAGGCCTGCCCCCTCTCCCATACTACAGGGCGAGAAGGAAGGAGACAAGTGAGGCTGTGTGAGTGTGAAGGGGGAGGATGGGACAGTCTAAAAGGTTCTGCCAGGAGTGAGCGTTGAAGTCAGCAGGGCTGGCTCTATGTTCTGGGTAAGACTGTACCCATCTGCATGCCATCCCATCCACTCTCGGCAGAGCTTTCCATCTGGCCCTGTGGCTTCTCTCCCTGCAGCAAGACTGACTGGAGGCTGAAGGGCTGAGAGAAGGTGAGACACAGGACTGTGGTCACAGATGGGTGGCGGGGTGGGAGTAGGGAGGTAAGGCATGGCAGGGATGTGCTGGGGGGACGGTTTAATTGCCTTCTTCCCTGCTCCCCTCAGGAACTGGTAGGGCTCTGGCTCCTTGGAAGGGGTCTCCCTCATCCATGGCACCACTAATAGTCTTGTTTCCTTGGGGGGGGGGTTGGCGGTGAGGGAATGCTCACCCCTTCCGGAATAGGGGTTATCAGGCAATCCAGAGCCTCTTCTAGAAGGGCTGTGAGCCCCAGGGGCCCTCATTTCCCTGCCAGGAAACACGGGGGAGTTGGTGTCACTAGAATTAAGGGATTAGCCCAGTGAGGCCTTCTTCTCAGGGAAGAGACTGGCTGGCTGCTGAGCTCAGTTGTGGTTTCAGGTCCAATCCCATCCTCAAAAAAAGGAAATCCCTTCCGTTGCAGAACAGGTGCTCGGTGGGGGTGGTGGGGGGGTGTTCCACTTGCCCCTCAACTCACACGGCAGGCCCTGGCCCAAGTCGCCCACCACCCTGCTGTCAGGACACAGCTCTGGCTCAGCTCTGTGTAAGGCTCCTTCTTGGTTTAACTCTGCCTGGCTTCCTTCACTGTCAGACCGTGACCTCTGCCCTCCCTCCTCATGGACCCTTAACTCCAACTTGACAACACCTAGCCTTAACTGTCTCCTAAGGGTGGTGGTGGGGCGGGGAGGAAGCCATCCTTCTCAGACTCCCAGAGCCTAAAGAGAAAAGGGAGCATTTTTTTCTTCTAACTCTGGACTGCTAGCAGAGACGTCACAAGGCAAGAAAGGCGTAGACAAAGGTTCCTTGCGAATACAGACACAGAAACTCAACAAGTTAGCAAGCCAGGTCCAGCAATGTATGACAAGGATGTACTCCATGACCAACCAGGACTTGCCCCAGGAATGCAGGGTGGCTAAACGTGAGAAAATCAATCAGTGTTGCAGAGAGAGAGAATATAGGACAAAAGGCACATGATCACCTTAATGATGCAGCTAGGGGGCCAGCTTGGTGGCGTAGCTGGGAGAGCCATCACCTGTGACACCAGCATCCATCCATATGGTGCTGGTTGGGTCCCGGCAGCTCCACTTGCCATCCAGCTCCGAGGAAAAGCAGCAGAAGATGGTCCAGATGTTTGGGTCCCCGCCACCCATGTGGGAGACCTGGTTAGGGCTCTGGGCTCTGGGCTTCTGGCTTTGGACTGGCCCAGTCCTTGCTGTTGCGACCATCTGGGTGGCTAACCAGCAGATGGAAGGTCACTGTCTCCCTCTCTCTAACTCTTTCAAATAAATAAGTTTTCAAAACTAGATGCAATCAAAGCATTCCATAAAAATTAGACATCCATCTGATTTAAAACAAACGTTCAGCAAACTAGGAATTTTAGAGGGGAACTTCCTCTACATGATTTTAAAAACTGCAAAATTTCACATCTGACAAACATGTTTTGGATCAAAAATGTTATAGTGGAAAAAAAAAACCAAAAGCTGCTTTCTCCCAGAGGCCAGGAACAAGACCAGGATATGTTGCTGCTTCTGCTCAGTCGTGTTCTGGAGGTTCTGATAGGGCAGTTGGTTAAGAAACGGAAAGGGACGGGAACTGTGTATGTGCACAGATCAAGGATGTACATTTAAGAAACATCAGGACTAATCAGGTTCAGCAGTGTTGGCAAGACATGAGGTCATAATGTGGAAATTAGTTGTGTTTGTGCCTGCTGGCAGCAGACCAAACTTTAAAAAACAAAAATGCAATTGAGAAAAAGAGTTTCACCTAATGATAGCATCAAAAAGAACAAGATTCCCAGGCATAAACTTGACAAAAGAAGTGCCGAGACTTGGCTCCGGAAACAAGACGTGGTGGAAAAAGACCTTGATGCCCTAGAGAAATGAGGAGATGCCCCAGGTTTGTGGATCAGTAGACTTGAGTCTACCACCACGATGGCAGAGAACTACTGCGCGCAGCTCAGACCCAGGCTGTGGAAACGGAGACCTCTCCCGGAGTGGCCGGTCTCTGTACTCAAGTTGGAGCATCACCCGGGGCCCCTCCCTCTTTTTCTCTGCCCCTCAGTCACCACATGCTCTAGCCACATCCTGGGGCGGAAGGCAGGAGCGGGGGTGTCTTCTCTCTTTCCTAGGAGCAGCAGCAGCCTGGCAAATCTCATTCCATCACCTTCCTGGCCTCTGTTCTGATATTTAGGAGCCCAAGACAGTGCACAACCCTCCACCCTCCTGCCCTGGCACGTGCCATGCCTCCATGTCCTCAGGCATGCCGTGGTGTCCCAGCTTGTATCTTCCCAAGTGTGGATCCCTCTGGTCCCCTACTGGGTATTCAGCAAGCATACACGCTGCGTGGTAGGTAAGAGTGGAATCTCAGGCCGCCCTCCAGTCTCTTCCCCTGTGAAGTGTGTTGAGTCCTGGTACTCCTGTGAAGGCGGCTCTAATGACTTGACCATGATGATGCATTTGCCCTGGTGTGAGAACAGCAGGACCGCATGAGAAGCCAGCTATGGCTCTGCTTGGTGGTCCACTCTCAGAGTGATTCCTTGTGGCTTTGGTTGTGGAGCTTGACACGGTGGCTGGCACCGTGTCAGAACGGTCAGGAGAGGATCAAACAAGGGTGGGCAGGCTCTCATGAGCCTTCAGTGTGCTTTTCCAGGATGCTGGCTTGGCTGCCCCCAGACCCATGCAGGAAATGGGAGACTTCTCAAAGACACACACCTTGGTATTTTGGTCTGAGAAGGAAGAGGAGGTTTAGGGAGTCCCTGCAGAGTAGCTTCTGTCTGTCGGCCAAAGGGCATCTCTCCCCTGGGGGCAGCTCCTGGACCTGTCCTCATGAGGTGATGGAGTCTATGCCCTTGGCAGGGCCCAGCACCTGCCTTCTGGGGTGCCACGGCAGACCCCTCTCCCCTTCCCCTGCCCCGTGCTGAGCCGAGGAGAGCCTGTTTTGCCCAGTCCAGGCTGTGCCTCCATGGCCTGTGTGATCCAGTTCTGGGCATAGCACCCCCTGTGAGGAACACACCCTGGTGGGGCGGAACAGGGGATGGGGCAGGGCTTCCACAGCGTATCTTTGCCACCGGTGCCATCCCTTTTAACAATGAGGAGGGGATAAACAAAGCAACAGAGGTTGGGCATAGGAAAGGAATGGTGACAGTCAAGTAAACACAAGCAAAAAAAAAAAAAAAGCCCAAATATATCGAGAATATATCTAGAGATAAAACCCAAAATTAAATTTAAAGTGAAAGTCAGTGTTTATGCGGTAGAACCATTTGGAGAAAATGACTCATTTCGTGAGGGAACAGCTGTTCTCATTTGCATAGTATGTCATCGCCAATGGACTTCATGCTGTCCTTCTGGCCTGGCGTGCGGGGCCTTCCGCCTGCTGATACTTGACGGATACCGCCAAGTCTGGGAGTGTTTTCATTAGAGTGATCATTGGTTCCTGGTCTTTGGGTTACCCCGAGAAAATGCCCGCTGTCCTCCATGCTGGGGACCCCAGAGCCTACGGCAGCTCTGCCCACCTACCCTCGCGGCCATCCTGGGTTTGCGGCCGGCTCAGGCGTAGAAGATGAAACCTGTGGTCACAAGTGTGATCAAGCCTAACATGAGGGCATTGACGACCCACTTGACCACGGGCTTTGGACACGTGCAACGCACCCTTGCCCCTTCCGTCCTCTTGGCTGCCTCCTCCGGAGTCAGCCCCGCTGCCCTCTCTGGTGACGCAGCACTGTGCTCCTTCACCTTCTCTGGGGCCAGCTTGGGGCTTGGCTGTGGGTCCAGGCCACAGAACAGGTTCCACGTCCTCCAGAGACAGCTCTGGTCCTCCTTCAATAACTCTGGAACATAGGGGATGGGAGGAGGCCCACGGTCAGGGAGGACATGCTGGCCTCTGTACAGAAGGCAGAACCTTTGGGCTGTCAACTCCCTCAGCAGCAAGTCCTATGTGAGACTTACAGACTCCATCCTTGTGTGTAAGATGCCAGTACATGACACAGCCCAGGATAAGGCATGGAGGGGTGGGAGATGAGGGGCCTAGGCCATACTGTGGTGGTAGGGGATGGAGGGCTGCAGAGCTCAGAACTGAGCCGCACTCCTCAGTGGGGCGGTGGAAGTGGCATCTCTGGACCCCTCCCTAATGATGCTCTGTGGCGCCCCTGGGCAGCGGCCACCTCCTCACCCTGTCCTGTCCCTCCATCCAGAGGACAGAAGACACCGCCCTGCTCTTGCTGGCAGTCTCTCAGGAGTGTCTTCTCCAGCCATCTCCCAGTCCTATTGACTGGCCCCAAGTAAGGCTGCCCTGAGTCCTGGAAAGCGCTTCGCAGAGGCTGTGCAGAAGGAGATATGGGGACCCTGAGGCAGCAGCTGTTAATTTCCTTGGGTCAAACAGTGAAAATTGCCTAACCGCGGGGCCTGTTACTCCCCACCACTGGCTGCTGTCAGGGCGGGCTGGCGCCAGCTTGCTCAGGGCCTGCGCAGGTGTGGGTCAGCACCACGGCCAGCTCCAGCACAGCGGTCCAACCCCAGAGCACAGCTGGGAAAGGCTCCCTCTTGTCAGTTAGGGCCAGCTCCCTGTGGCATGCCTGGTGTCACCTCTTTCTGTCTTGGTCCTCACAGCCTGGCTGAGAGGCATCTAGGAGATGGAGCCCATCCACTGCGGGACACAGACATCTGACGTTGGGACTGAACTCTCAAAGGCCCACGTCCCATGTGTCATCATGTGGTTTCCAGGACTCGGGGCGGGGGTGGGGGGGTGGGGGGGGCGGAGGGGAGACTCTGGAGAGCCCCAAGGCTCACCTAAACACAAACAGGTAGTTGAAATAACTGCAGGCAGATCCCCGCTGACTTTGACTAGTGACATGCAGGGCCAGGCACCAATACGTACCTGCCCAATACCTGTTTCCCTTGCTCTAAAATGGGACTAAAAGTTGAGGATACCACATGGGGTGTGCCTGGGGCATTGTGAGTACCCACAGGTCAATTTGCACCCCATTCTAGAAGGGTGTCCAACAGGCACATGACTGGTTTAATGGGGTCTTCAGGGCGGGAGCCCCAGTTCCTGCCGGCTCCTCCATCCAGACCTTTTGCCTCCTCCCTTCCCCCACCAGACCTGCGGGCTCATCCCCACCTCTGCCGGGGACTAATCCCATTATCCCTCTGATCCCCCATCTGCGTCAGGGCCCAAGCAGCTCAGGTCACCTCCCCGGTGGCCCTGGACGCTCCTTTCTGACCCCAGCTGCCAAAACCTACCCATGGGCCCTCTGGAGGCCCTGGGGCCTCTTCCCCCAGAGAGAACATTCTTTGCTTTCCTACTCCCAGACCCCAGTGCCCTCTCAAAGTGGGGCTTCTTCCCTCCTTGTCCTCACTGCCTCCAGAGCCTCCCCAGGTGGTGGCAGTCCTTCCAGACCATCTCCAGATGCCTCTGAGAAGGAGAAGAGAAGCCAGCTGTTTTGAATGCCTGCACTGAACACCAATGGCCTCTTTCCTGGGGCACCACACCCCTGGTGGGCACAGAGCCACCTGGGACCAGGTCTCAAGCCTCAGCTCTCTTTGCCCATTAGCGTTCCTCTCAGTGGACACCCCTGCCTCCTTGAAGCATTCCTGTGACACTGGGTGCTTGGCTGCTGCTCTTCCACCTGCTGCCTCCTCTTTCGACCTGGGTTCCCTGAGCTTCAGCCCTGACCTTGACTTCTAGGAGTGTGCCAGGTGTCTTCTACCCCACTCTCTCTCCTACTCCCTCTAGCCCTGCCCTGTCCACTCCCTGTGGGTGCCTTTAGAGTCACCATCTCAGGGAACATGAAAGATGGGGATTCTGCCTGCAGGAATGTTAGTGCCTGGGAGGGAGCAGCAGAGTGAAGGCCACTGTGGGGCGCAGGCCACGTCACCTGCAATGCTGCTCCCAGGCCGTGGTTCCCACTTCTCACCTGGCTGTAGCGGGTACTTAGAGTGTCTCTTCCATGGCAGCTCCCCCTCTAGGTTGACCCTTTCCTCTTGGCTGTTGCGCAGACTCCAGCAGAGCCGGTAGAGCTAGGGGAGAACAGGGCAGTGTCACCGCCAGCCCCTCCCTCTTCTCCTTTCCCAGTGGCTACTCAGGACCAGCCAAGGCTGGGCACTAGGGTTTCCCTGTGGATTGAAAGACAATAGTGTTGTCAGATTCTACCAGGTGGTGGGAGGGATGTGGGATGGTGAAGCAGATGAACCAGGAACTCTGGGTCGCATTAGTGCCAGCTGTGGTACCATGCGGCCATGCGGACAGTGGCCAAGGAATAACTCGACCCAACTGGGGACCTCACTCATCCTTCAGGGTAAAGTGAGGCATTGGAGGCAATAAGCTTGGGGGTGCTTCCAGTGTGAGGGGCCAGGAATGGAAACTCACCCCTGCAGGTAGGTGAAAGAGGTGCCCTTTACCCAGGGAAGGCCCTGTCGTGGGGATGGGTGGGACAGGAAGTAACCCAGAGCTTGCCAGGGGACATTGTGGAAGCTTCTGCTGGACACCAGTGAGAGTTGTGACAGCCCAGGGTGGCTGCAGCTGACCCTGGACAATGCTCAATTGCTCAAGCTCCAAAGAGGCCAAAGGGACACTCACTTACCCTCCCCTGCCCACTGCTCCACCTTCCCCCACCCTTCTTAAAACATATTTGGAAACTTTGGGACATAACAAAACCCAGCAAAAATATTTTTTTTTCTTTTTAAGACCAGGATCCACAGAAGCCCCAAGGAAGTGAATGCTTCTGCCACACTGAATTCGTTCTGCAAGGGACATGTCTGAGTCTGCTACCAAGCCTCAACTAGGGTGTTGGAACCTCTGGCCTGTGGCTCCTATGGGGCTGTCCATGAGCTCTAAGCAGGGTCCCCGTGGCTGTTCCCGGCCTGCGTGGATGAGTTGGCAGGGGAGGTGGGGACATTCTGCCTCCCCTGGTTGTGGGGAGCAGGGGATGCCACGTTTAGAGGACTCACCCGCGCTACTTTTCCCCCACGCTGTTCTCCCTTTCCACTCGGACAGCTACTGCACCTCCTCCAGGACGCTGGCAGCTGCTGACAGGGCTGGGAGAGACTCAGACATCCTTGGCTAAAGAGAGAATGGGCACAAGCCCAAGACTGAGAGGATGCGAGTGGTGGAAAAGGCCACACAGCCAGCGGCTCCCAGCATCTCAGGGAAGTGCCCCTGCGGGGCTGTCACTGAGGCAGGGGGCTAATCCCGGGTTGGCAGTGACATCCTGTCTCTGCCCTACCCATCTCACTGCCCCCACCTGCAATCACCCTCCCTGAAACTGAAGGGAGAGAGGGAGAGAGTTGGCCGGGGTCGTGGGTAGGGGGTGGGGATGGGACCCCGAGGGTTGCAGCCTTCCAATTCCACCTGTCCTGTTGCTGATGGAGTCCCAGCTGTGATGACACTAGGGGTGACATTGCAGAAAATGGACTGAGACCTCACGTTTCCATTTCTTCCAAGGGCCCTCCCCGACTTTACACCCTCCAGATTGTTGACTTGCTTGCCTGCTCGTCCATTTGTTCACTCACTGGATGGACTTTCTGGGATGCTCCCTCCTGATTCAGACCAAGGGGACCAAGACCCTGCCCTGCTAGAGGTGCAGGTGCAGGTGATGCAGTGGCATCTCAGAACCAGGTTACAGCAGGCCTGTTCCTTACCAGTTTTGTTCTCTTGGGTCAGGTAACCCAACTGTCTTAGCCCAGGCTTTCTAATAGACCCTCAAAACCTGGGGGTATTAGGGACTGCCTTCTGGAAGGCTGGGATGGCTTGTAAGGAGGAGGTTGCCAGCATCATCCCTCCCCCACCTTCTGGCTTAATCTCCTCCTGGTGGGCAGTAGCTGGGCCTGCTGGGATTATAGTAATTCACACACTGAGGTTAGTGACCTGGGGAATCCCAACAAAACGTAGCATCTTGAAACAGCCAAATTCCTCAGATCTCTGAGGAGCTTTCCTCTAAGTTTAAAGGCAAGGACAGCTTCTGTTCCACTCCCAAGTCCCATACTCCACACGCCACACCCCCGCCCCTGGGACCTGCCAATATCCAAAGACACAGGCCACTACTCACAGGGGACCCACAACCTCCCCTGGGACCCTGGCATTGGGCGCAGAGCACCCCAGAGACAGCACTCACGTGTTTGTCAGGAATGGGGTCTGTGGCCAAGGAGATGATCAGCATGCTGAGCACGCAGATCCCAAGGAGGATCAGGTTGAAGTAGAGGTAGTGCAGGCCGCAGAGGAAGGAGGGACAGTTGCTCTTCTGCAGGCAGTTCCACTGCCGGCTGAAGCCAAAGTGGATGAGCAGGCGGGAGACGCCCAGCACGGTGCCCAGAGTCAGTCCCCAGAAGGCGCCCTGCCAAAACACAAACAAACCCGAGGAGGGAGCCGGGATCAGACAGAGCTGGCCTCATCTTCACGCCTCTGGCCAGCTACCTGTCCCCAAGGAGGCCATCCAGCCCTCACAGAGAAACTGAATGTGAAGGACGGAGAGGCGATGCTGGGCCTGAGACACCTGCTTTCTCTCTGCAGTCGGAGAATGTAAAATCTCTACAGAGAGATACAAGGAATGAGGCATCGCATGTTGAATGTGCCTGCCCCATTCCTCCTCTCCTCACAAAAGCACCTTGCCTTCCCAGGTCGTCAAAGTAACCTCTCCATCCTCCCCCTGGCTGCTTCAGGTCAAAATCCCGGGAGCCAGCCATGCAGCGTTCCTTCCATTCCCCCAGTCCTGTCTGTTGGCTCTGCCTCCCAAAGGTATTCTAGATTCAAGGGAGTGCTTGCTGCCATTTCTACGGCAATCCAGGCTTTATCCTCAGCCTGCCCCAGTCTCTCAGGCATGAGGGCCCTGCCTGGTCTCCTGCTTGCTCACGCTCTGCCTCCTTCCCTCTCCGCCCCCTACAAGCCAGAATGGCTTCCCCACATATACTGGAGGGTGCCATGCCTGCCTGGCCTTCCCACCACATCTGTGAGAATCAGGCCTTGGTCCTGCACCACAGCCCACCTACCTCCCCCAGCCCAGCAACTCTCCCTTGCACTCCTCCCACAACCTGCCCACTTGGCTCCTCGCTCGGGTCTCCCCCCCCCATTGTCCTTCTCTCAGCTTGCATCTTCTCCCAATGTTGGTGTTTCTGGCTTGAGCTTCAGGCTTCAGATTCAGGGCCACCTCCTTGGAGAGGGCTCTTTTCCTAGCTGACACCTGCCACTGTTAGTGCCACCCCTCCAAGAGCCTGTGTTATCTTTTTGTAAACAGTTTTACAGATATATATGAAAAAATGGAAGAGGAACAGGAGAGAGACAGAGAGAGAGAATGAAATAGACTCTCCAAATGCTCAGGTAGGGCTAGGTCAGGATGAATCAACAGCTGAGAGCTCACTCCAGGTTTCCCCCGTGGGTGGCAGGGACCCTGAGTACTTGAGTCCCACCACCTTCTGTCTCTCATGGTACATATGAATGGAGAGACTGGAAACACCAGCAAAGCCAGGGCTTGGAACCAGGAAATGGGATGTACACGTCCCCATGAAGTTCTGGAAAACTTCTAGAAGGGCAAGCACATTGGGGAGACAGCAGAAGGCCAAAGCCAGGAACCGTTTGCTGAGGGCCAAGGGTAGAGGCCAGATGAGGAGCCCCTGTGTCATAGCCGGCGGGGGGCGGGGCGGGAAAGGGGGAGGAAAGAATTGCCCAGGTGGAAGACAGGGCATGTGGTGCACCTGCAGGCAGAGACCAGGGGTCACCCTCACTCCTCAGACCCTGAGCTTGGCATTGTAACTGGGAGACAGAATCCCGATTCCCATTCCTCTTCCCCTGGGACATCCCTGGACCATATGCCTGGGACTACAGTGAATGCGGCTCTGAAGGTTGCAGCCAGGAACTCTAGCTGGTGGGTCTAAAGCAGGGGCGGGGCATACTTCTGTGCCAAGGGCCTCCTGGGATCACTCTAACATTATTCACAGATCATACAACATTGTTGACTTAAAAATAATGAGCTTGCTCCAAGGGGCTGGTATGATGATGGCTCAACTGGCTAATCTTTCGCTTGCCACCAGTAGCATACTATACAGGCGCTGGTTCATGTCCTGGCTGCTCCACTTTCCATCCAGCTCCCTGCTTGCAGCATGGAAAAACAGTGGAGAATGCCCTAAAGCCTTGGGACCCTGCACCCATGTGGGAGACCCAGAAAAAGCTCCTGACTCCTGATGTCAGATCAGCTCAGCTCTAGCCATTATGACCATTTGGGGAGTGAACCAGTAAACGAAATATCATTTTGTCTTTCTCTCTGTGGTTCTGTCTTTCTAATTAAAAATAAATAAATTGGGCCTGGCACAGTAGCCTAGTGACTAAAGTCCTCACCTTGTATGTGCCAGGATCCCATATGGGTGCTGGTTCATATCCCGGCAGCCCTGCTTTCCTTCCAGTTCCCTGCTTGTGGCCTGAGAAAGCAGTTGAGGATGGCCCAAAGCTTTGGGACCCTGAACCCATGTAGGAGACCCAGAAGAGGCTCCTGGCTCCTGGCTTAGGATTGGCTCAGCTCCGGCTGTTACAGCCATTTGGAAAGTGAATCAACTAATGGAAGATCTTTCTCTCTGTCTCTCCTCCTCTCTGTATATCTGACTTTCCAATAATAAACAAATCTTTAAAAAAAGACTAAAAAAAGATAAACGAGGGTCCGGAGGTAGGTAGGCTTAGATCAGAGTCCTTCAGCGCACTCTCAGGAATTTGTGCTAGCACTCAAACTCAGAGCTGTTTGGGAAAAGCAAATTTAAGACTAAAAAATAAAGGGCCCAGCGGCATGGCTTAGCAGCTAAAGTCCTCACCTTGAACATGCCGAGATCCCATATGGGCGCCAGTTCTAATCCCGGCAGCTCTACTTCCCATCCAACTCCCTGCTTGTGGCCTGGGAAAGCAGTCAAGGACGGCCCAAAGCCTTGGGATCCTGCACCCGCGTGGGAGACCTGGAAGAAGTTCCTGGCTCCTGGCTTCGGATCGGCATAGCATCAGACGTTGCATTCACTTGGGGAGTGAATCATCAGACGGAAGATCTTCCTCTCTGTCTCTCGTCCTCTATGTATATCTGACTTTCCAATAAAAATAAAACAAATCTTTAAAAAAAAAAAACATAACAGTCTTATTGGTGCAGTGGTGGAGTGAACACGGATCACATTACAAAGGGAGGGGAGAACAAATGAAGTTTGGCCTTCCCCTCCACTCGCATCCCAAGAGGGAGCTTGGAGCAGATGTGCCAGGGAGGAGGAAATAAAATCAAGAGTGCAAATGGCACCAATGGCCAGAACTCCGGAAGCACCAGAAACCCTTCTGAAGGACAGCTCCTTGCAAAGGTCACAGCCAATGCAGAAGCAAAACCCTTCCCAGCAGGCTGTGCGGTGGCCGAGCCGACACCCACCTTCTCATTGACCCTTTTGCAAAATATGGCGAGTAGGAAGACGGCAGTGACGGGTGGCGTCATGAAACTCCTGATGGCCTGCTTGTATTCAAAGAGCGTTTCGCTGTGCCCCGTGTCCATGATAGGGACCCAGACGATGGTGACTGCAAACAGGAGTATAACAAAAAACCTGCAGATGGAATCAACAGTCAGTAAGGAGTGTATGGGTTCTGCTTTCCTGCCAATAACACAGCTACACATCATTAACTCGACCATTCCTTCACTTACATTCAGAGAAAGTCACATAAAAATTCAGAATGATGGGTCTGGCATGATTGTGTAATGGCTTAGTCCTTACCCTGCAAGCATCAGGATCTCATACACACTGGTTGTGTCCCAGCTGCTCCGCTTCTCATCCAGTTCCCTGCTTGTGGCCTGGAAAATCAGTGGAGGATGACCCAAAGCCTTGGGATCCTGCACCCATGTGGGAGATCCAGAAAAAAAGGTTCCAGGCTCCTGGCTTCAGATTGGCTCAGCTCTGGATGCTGTGGCCATTTGGGAAGTGAACCAGAGGATGGAAGATCTTTCTGTTTCCCCTTCTCTCCATAAATCTGATCTGACTTTTAAAATAATAACAACAACAAACCACACACACACACACAAAAAAAAAAACCAAAACAATAACAGCAACAACAACAACAACAAACGCAAACCTCTCCAACAGGAGCCAGCACCATGGTGTAGCAAACTAAGCCTCCACTTGTGATGTTGGTATCCCATATGGGCAAGGGTTTAAGTCCTGGCTGCTCCATTTCCAATTCAGCTCCCTGCTGGTGTCCTGTGAAAGCAACAGAGAGTGGCCCAGGTCCTTGAGCTCCTGTACCCACATGGGAGACCAGGAAGAAGCTCCTGGCTCTTGGCTTTGGATTGGCTCAGCTCTCGCCTTTGCAACCATTTGGGAAGTGAATTAGAGAATGGGAGATCTCTCTCTATCCTTTCATATCTCCATAAACCTGCCTTGCCAATAATAAATAAATACATTTTTGAACATCTCTAAGACAACCAAAAAAGGAGTTAAAATACGGCATTAAATTTTATTTCTAGCCCCACTGATGATTACATTACATGTAAATGGGTTAGAGTTTAATCCAAGTCTTCCATGAGGGTGCAAGGATACAACTTCAGGAGCTATTACTGCTGCCTCCCAAGGAAAGCATTAGCAAGAAGCTGGAATCTTAAGTTGAGACCGGGTATTAAACTCAGGTACTGCAATATGGGATGTACTAGCCCAAACACCCACCTTGTGATGGAAGATTTTAGCATCCATGTTTCCATACTGAATGCACTGAACTACATAAACACATTCTAGACAGACTAGGTAGAAATTCGGGGAGCATTCAAAAGTATCACTTAACTTTTGAAAGACTAAAATAGTTCAGAATATGTTTTACATCACAGTGAAAGGAAATCAGAAAAGACTTGCTATAAGCTTGTAGGAAAAGTACCAAATACTTGGAAAAACAAAATTGCACACTTCTAAGCGGCCCATGGATCAAAGAGACAAATCACAAAGGAAATCAGGAAATATTGCAAAACAAAATACAATGAAAATACAACATGCCAACATCTGTGAGATAGCACCAAACAGCTGGGCTAAGAGGGAGATTTCTAACTGTGGTGAGAAATAAGAAAAACAATTACAGCAGGAACTGAAAACGGGAACAGTGAACTCGACTGTGGGATCTGCATAGTGAAAACTAAGATGATAGGGGGAAATCAGAGAAGTTGCAAGTGAATGGAGAGTCTCCCAAGGTGAGGGAATGGAGGGCTTGGTTTAAAGGTGTCCCTTCTTTCTCTGTTGATTGTAGATTTCATACAACGAAGATCCTAAAACTTCAAAACTGGCCAGCTGGTTCCAAAGATCTCGCGGGAAAGTGAAGACTTGGAGGATAGTTGTTGCAATGTTGGAATAAAATGGGAGGACTCACTCCCAGCTTCTAAACAGAATCCCAGAAAATGGGCGACTTATACGAAGCAGGTTATGATTGTTTGTGGTTCTTGCAGCTGGAAAAACCCAAGATCCAGGTTCTGGCATGCTATACAGCTCCCACGGGATTCGGCCCCTGGACTCCTGAAGACGTCTGTTGCTCAGACACCTGGGGAGATGGCCCTGAGAAGGAGGAAGCCGAATCCATCACCTTCTTCAGGAAGTGTGTCTAGTGGGAGGTCATTAGGGAATTGGGGGTGTGTCCTTGAAAGGTAATTTCAAAGAAGGAGTAGGTTATAAATGCTTGATTGGGTCCAGGCACTCTCTGCTTGCCCAGCGATCCTTCTAGGTGCCATCTGCTGCCCTTGCAGAGTCGTCTGAGCTGGAATGTTCTGAGCCACAGAAGTCCCTCTTTCCTTCACAGGCAGTTTGTCTCGGGTATTTCATGACAGTGCTGAAGAGCTGACTGGTACGTTGCATTTGGTGTCTGGTGAGGACAAGAAGGCTGGGTCCCGCAGAGGACACAAGGCAGAGCTTACTGCTGCATTTCAATGGACCTTAACACGTTTTACTGGAGGAGAAAGTCAAAGGCCTGCTTCTTACGCTATCACACTTGGCCATTAAACTTCAACATCGAATTTTGGAGACACATCCAAAACCTAATTAGACTTTTTTTTTTTTAAAAAGATTTATTTTATTGTTATTGGAAAGGTGGATATACAGAGAGGAGAGACAGAAGAGGAAGATCTTGCATCTGATGATTCACTCCCCAGGCGGCCGCCACGGCTGGAGCTGAGCCAATCCGAAGCCAGGAGCCTCTTCTGGTTCTCCCCACACGGGTGCAGGGTCCCAAAGCCCTGAGCTGTCCTCGACTGCTTTCCCAGGCCACAGGCAGGGAGCTGGATGGGAAGCAGGGCTGCCGGGATTAGAACCGGAGCCCAGACCAAGATTTATTTATTTATTTATTATTTATTTTTTAAAGACATAGTACCCGAGACACTTTAGGGCTAGCATTAGACAAAATGACTGCAGCAGAAAACAGAGTTCAAGGGCTCACGTGGTGGCATAACACTAACCATCTGCCAGTGCTGGCATCCCACATGGACACCAGTTTGAGTCCTAGTAGCTCCACTTCTGACCCAGCTCTCTGCTTACAGCCTGGGAAGGCAGTGGGACGGGAGGGGTGGCCTAAGTCCTTGGGACTCTGCACCCATGTGGGAGACTGAGAGGAAACTCCTGGCTCCCAGCTTTGGATCTGCTCCACTCCGGTCATTATGGCCCTTTGGGGAGTGAATTAGCTGTCTCTCCTTCTCTTTCTATTAAATCTTTCAAATAAAAACAATTTTTGGGCCTGGTGCTGTGGCCTAGCAGCTCAAGCAGTCAAGGACAGCCCAAAGCCTTGGGACCCTGCACCCACGTGGGAGACCTAAAGGAAGTTCCTGGCTCCTGGCTTCAGATCGGCGCAGCACCGGCCATTGCGCTCACTTGGGGAATGAATCATCAGACGGAAGATCTTCCTCTCTGTCTTTCCTCTTCTCTGTATATCTGACTTTCCAACAAAAATAAATAAATCTTAAAAAAAGACCATAGAGCATACAAGGTTTCAATTACATTTACATACATTCTTACCTTTAACAATAAAGGCTAGCTTTCTTTATATCAGGTTTATGAAATCTTTGCATCCTATGAGGTCGACGGGAAATTGTTCTATGCTTTCTTATAAAGCTTTAGTGCTTTTTGTCTTGCATGTGTAAATACAGGCAGCTCATCTGAAGGATTTCTGTGTGTCGTGTGAGGTAAGGATCAATACTCTTTTGTTGTTGTTGTTGGCAGTCACCCAGTGCCATTTGGCATGCCCTCTCTCAAACAGTGCAGTAGTCCCTACATCAGGTCATGGGCATCTGGAGTACTTTCTCTGAATCTTTTATTTTGTTCCACTGGTTTGTCTCTACGTGTACGAAAACTGTAACGTTTTACAAGGAGTACCTCACAATAGATGCTGGTATCTACTAGTATAAATCCCTCCAATTAGTTCACTTTTAAGAACAACAGGTGCTGTGTCCTAGTCAGGGTGACTTCCAGTCATCCCCACCAGGCTCACCCCAGCCCCGTTGTTTGTGTGTGCCAGCCTCTGCTGCAGCCTAGCCTGGCCCAGTCCACATCCCATCTGGCTCTTGTGCACATCCATGGGTTCTGTGGCTTAGCTCTGCCCACCTAGCTCCCAGACTTGACCCTCACGTATATCCACAGGTGCCACCGCCTTGTCCAGGCTGGCCCACCCCCAGCCCTGGATTTCCTGCTCACCGGCGGGAGGTACAGCCTAGCAGGGGAGTCCGGCTTCAGTTCTGACACAGCTGCTGCTGGCTGGGCATCTGCAGAGTCAGTGAAGCAGTGGATGGAAGCTCTGCCTGTCTGCCTCTCAGATTTAAAACAAAAGCAAAACCCTTCCTCAGTCTAATTCTAAGGAAGGAATCATTTCGGAGGACATAAATCTGAGTCTAGTCATCTCAGCCATTTCACGTTAAGAGTTTAGTCAACTTACATTTCATGGAATTACTCATGTCTGTGGGGTTATAGGTGCCATTATGCCACTTTTTAAAATTTAATTCATCTGTTTTATGTTTGCCCGTTTTTTTTTTTCTGGACTTAACTTGGACTAATCAAATTATTTTTATATTTTCCTGCCATTCACTTGTTAAACAATCTTGTGCTGTTCTCCTGTTACTTAGTCTAGCAATTACATATGTCCTTGTGAAATTACGGTCTGGCACAAGTTTGCTTTTCATCACACCCTCAATATTTATTTTGTCAGTATTTACTTTTACATTGACCCTTTTTTTTTTTCTTCTCTGAAGTTCAACTCCGAGTTTATTTTCCTTCAGCCTCAAAAACATCCTTTAGTATTTATCGGGCAAGTCTAAGGTAACAACATTCTCTCCACTGTATTTCCCACCCAGAACAGCATATTTATTTTACGTCCATTTCAGAGAATACTTTTGGGTAGGTACTGGGTTCTAGCAGGGTGATTCCTCAATGTCTTTTCATTGTCTTGGCTGTCCTAGTCTTGTGGTTGCGCATTTTGCTAAATCAACCTCCTTGTCTCTCCTTTATTGAAAGGTAGACTTACTTTCCCCTGGTTGCTCTAAAGATTTTCTCATTATCTTTCATTTTTAGCAGTCCTGCCATAATGTCACGTAGGTATGGCTTCCTCGGTCTTCATTCTGCTTCAGTTTGTGCAGTTTCTTGACCTTCTCTATGGCTGTTCTTCCGTTTCAGGAATATCTTGGCCACTACCACCTTGCTAAAAGTATTTCTATCCAGTTTGTCCCCTGCTTTCTGTGATTTCAGCTTGAACGTTGTCAACTGATCCATTTTCTATTCACTAATTCTAACTTCTGCTATAACCCAATCCTAGTTAATCGTCAATGGAGTTTTTTTTTTTAAAGATTTATTTATTTTTGTTGGAAAGTCAGATATACCCAGAGGAGGAGAGACAGAGGAAGATCTTCCATCCGTTGATTCACTCCCCATGTGGCCCCAACAGCAGAAGCTGAGCTGAGCCGATCTGAGGCCAGGAGCCTCTTCCAGGTCTCCCATGCAGGTGCAGGGTCCCAAAGCTTTGGACCGTCCTTGACTGCTTTCCCAGGTCACAGGCAAGGAGCTGGCTGAGAGGCAGGACCACTGGGATTAGAACCGGTGCTCATATGGAATTCTGGCATAAGCAAGGCAAGGACTTTAGCCACTAGGCTACTAAACCGGGCCCAAGACACAGATCTTTCTTCTGCTGGCTTACTCCTCAAGTGGCTGCAACATCTGGAGCTGAACTGATCTGAAGCCAGGAGCTTCTTCTTGGTCTCCCATGTGGGTTCAGGGTCCCAAGGCTTTGGGCCGTCCTCGATTGCTTTCCCAGTCCATAAGCACGCAGCTGGATAGGAAGTGGAGAAGCTGGGACAGGAGCCAGCACCCATACGGAATGTGGCACTTGTAGGTGGAGAATTAGCCAATCAAGCCACTCATTGGGCTCCAATCAAATTCTGAATTTCAGATGGTTTTCATTTATTGAAAAATTTCTTTAACCATAAAAATTCAAATTTGGTGTTAAAATTCTCCATCTTTTCATCTATTGTATATATCTCTATATTTTACTGCACATATGAAATCTGGTTGTATTAAACTCCTTAGCTGCTAGGCCCAGGGTGGTAGTCCAGTGGCTAAAGTCCTCACCTTGTATGTGCCAGTTCATGTCTCAGCTGCTCCACTTTCCTTTCAGCTTTCTGCTTGTGGCCTGGGAAGGTAGCTGAGGACAGCCCAAGGCCTTGGGATCCTGCACCTGAGGGGAGATCTGGAAGAGGCTTCTGGCTCCTGGCTTCAGATCGGTGCAGGTCTGGCTGCTGTGGCCACTTGGGGAGTGAACTGGCAGAAGATCTGTCGTTCCTTCTCTTTGTAAATCTGACTTTCCAATAAAAATGCAACAAATCCTTGGCTGCTAAGCTCACTGGTTGGTCTACTTTCATAACCCAACTTACCCATATGCATATATTCATCTAATTTATCTAAACAGATTGTTGAGGGGGAATGCTCTTGCTTTGTGTCTTTCTGGTTTCTTCATAAAGCATGATGCAGGCTTTTGGAGTGATATGGCTAGGTCTCCTCATATTGAAAAGCACCTCTTTTTTTTTTAAACAAATGCTTTTCTATCACTGGTAAATAGACACGCATGATTGTTTGCTTTTGGCTTGTGAAGATAATGAGCTGCAGTATTGTATTTCCTATTGAGCTGCCCTTGTTTATCTGGGAAAAGATCATAAGAGCCAGGAGCTTCTTCTGGGTCTCCCACAGGGATGCAGGGTCCCAAAGTTTTGGGCCATCCTCTGCTGCATTCCCAGGCCATAGCATGGACCCTCCATGGGAGGTGGAGCAGCTGGGACATGAACCAGTGCCCATATGGGATTCTGGAGTTTACAGCAGGAAGATTAGCCAGCTGAGCCATTGCACAGGGCCTTGTAGTTTATTTGTTTTCATCCATTTGGGAAGGCAGATGAAATGGGAGCGAGGGAGAAACACACACACACACACACACACAGAGAGAGAGAGAGAGACTTTTCACTGGTACATTCTCTAAATGCCTATGACATCCAGGAGCTAGGAGCTCCATGCAGGTCTCCCACAAGAGTGGCAGTGGCTCAAGCACTTGAACTTTCACTCGCTGCCTACTAGGAGGTGCTGGTAGGAAGCTGGATCGGAAGCAGAGCAGCTGGAACTCAAACTGGCGTTCTGCCAGGGAACATGGTCATTTCAAACAATGACAGAACACGCTGCACCATGACACCCCCCTTTATCTCGCTTTTTAATGTCTTGCAGGATTTATGTCTAATATTTTGGCATTTTTGTGTTGATATTTAAAACTGAAATTAGTCTAATTTTTTATAGGCTTGCTTTGTTAAATTTTTGGGGGGGGGGGTTGTTGGATTTTAACATTTAGTTTGATAAAGCATCATAAAATGAGTCTGTCTTCCTTTTAGCTCTACATTATCTAACAGTTCAAAACTGAAATCCGTGTCTTTAAACTTCTCATAAAAAAATTAAAAAAAAATTTTTTTTCGTGCCGAGTGCTAATGAAAATGTAAAAGCAAATTCATTTGTAGTGTAAGACAGTTACAGTAGGTGACCAACGGGCACCTAAATCAAGATAAAAACATGTTTTTTTTTTTTTTTTGGCAATAACACAGGCCAGGATAAATGTATGTAGGCTGACTACAGTCCAGCTGTGGCCAGTGTCAAACCCTATGGCCCATGTACTTTGAAGGCAGGGACCTAGCAGGTGTGTGTGGCATCAAAGTCAACAGCATGGTCCTGAGTCTGACAGGTTCCCCTCCTTACGTGATCTCAGACCGACGGAGTCTCCCCTTTAGCCCCCGTTTCCCCATGTGCACAGTGAGAATGAGAGCAAACGTAGTTTTAATCAATGGAACCAAAGGAGACAGTGTAAGTGCACTGCCCCAAAAGAACGGGTTAAACCTGCCTGACTTCTTTTTTTTTTTTTTTTTTAAAGATTTGTTCATTTTTTATTTTAAAAGTCAGATATACAGAGACGAGGAAAGACAGAGAGGAAAATCTTCTGTCTGATGATTCACTCCCCAAGTGGCCGCATTAGCCAGAGCTGAGACAGCCCAAAACCAGGAGCCAGGAGCTTCTTCTGGGTGAGTGCAGGGTCCCAAGGCTTTGAGCCATCCTCGACTGCTTTCCCAGGCCACAAGCAGGGAGCTGGATGGGAAGTGGAGCTACTGGGATATGAACAGGCGTCCATATGGAATCCCAGTGCATGCAGGCTACCGCACTGGGCTCCAGGCTGACTTTTTAAAAAGACATATTTGCTGGGCCCGGCGCGGTGGCGCAAGTAGTTAAAGGTCCTCGCCTTGCACGCCTGGGATCCCATATGGGCGCCGGTTCTAATCCCGGCAGCCCCGCTTCCCTTCCAGCTCCCTGCCTGTGGCCTGGGAAAGCAGTCGAGGATGCCCAAAGCTTTGGGAACCTGCACCCGCGTGGGAGACCCGGAAGAGGCTCCTGGCTTCGGATCGGCATAGTATCGGCCCGTTGCGCTCACTTGGGGAGTGAATCATCGGACGGAAGATCTTCCTCTCTGTCTCTCCTCTCTGTATATCCGCCTTTCCAATGAAAAAATAATAAAAATAAATCTTTAAAAAAAAAAAAAAGACATATTTGCCCTCATTTCAAAGGTTGATTCATAGAGACAAGGGCAGAAAGATCCGCTATCTGCTGTTTCACTCCCCAAATGGCCACAGTGGTCTGAGCTGAGCTGATCTGATCCAGAGACAGGAGCCAGGAGCCTCTTCTGGGTCTACCACATGGGTACAGGATCCCAAGGCCCTGGTCCATCTTGACTGTCCTCCCAGGCCAATGACAGGCAGCTGGGTGGGAAGTGCAGCAACCGTGACATGAAGCAGCGCCCACTTGGGATCCTGGCACCTGTAAGATGAGGACTTAGTCATGGAGCCATCACACTGGGCTCACCAGGCTGACTTTCACCATTGCAACGATTTCTTCCCCCCTCCCTCTTTTTCCTTTGCTCAATTGAAAGCAATCTCTATGATTATCAAAGCAGTATAGCACCCCTGTAAAACTGTAGCAAAACAACAAAAAATCCACCAAAAACACTCAGAAAAAAAAAACCAAACTCACCTAAGCAAACTGTGTACAGGTGAGATTGAGTTACAGTCAGCCTTACACCCCTTAGCTTTCCTGTAGGTAACTTTGGGCACAGTTTCCCTGGCTGGTGGCTACTGTGACGCGAGGAACACCTCACCTTCCGGTTATCATGAGCTCTTTCTCGCTGGCCACGGGCCGCAGCTGGGTGTAGATGTTCAGCGTGAACAGGGCACTGGTACCGTTGAAGATGGAAGCCAGGGTGGACATGAAGGAGGCACACACTGTGGACAGCAACAAGCCTCGCAAACCTGCAAGAGAAAAGAGGATGTGTGCCGGACTTCCGGTTCCCTGAAGGCACCAAGAAATGAGTTTGGCCTCCTGAGAGATTTTTTTCCTAATACTTTTTTTTTTCCCCTAGAGCACATTCTATTTTATTTGGAAGGAAATTTCATCTGATAGAGGATTGAGTCTTTTTTTTTTTTTTCTTTCCTTGATTTGGGATAAGAACTGTGTCCCTGGAGGATAATGGGAGGTTGGTATTTCTTGGGTGGCTCCTCTGTGCCACAGCAGGCACTGGGCTGCATCTTCCTTCCCACAGGCCTGTGAGACAGGCCCCTGTGTTGCCTTCCTCTGCGCACGCGAGGAGCCAGAGGCTCAGGCACGGGTGGGGTAGGTTCATATTATCAGCATGTGATGTGGTATCTTGTGCTTTGGTGTCTGCATCTGTGACGGGGGCATGGCAACACCCACTTAGAGCCGCTGTTTGGGTTCAGTTAAATAGGCTAAGCCTCCACCTGTGGTACCAGCATCCCATGTGGGTGCCATTTGGAGTCCTGGCTGCTCCACTTCTCTGATCTAGCTCCCTGCTTATGACCTGGGAAAATAGCAGAGGATGATGCCCTTGGGACCCTGCACCCATGTGGGAGACCTGGAAGAAGCTTCTGGCTGCTGACAGCAGCACCTGGCCCAACCCTGGCCCAACCCTGGCTCCTGGCTTTTGGCTTCGATTTGGTTCAACTATGGCTATTGTGGCCATTTGGGGAGTGAACCAGCAGATGCAAGACCTCTCTCCCTCTCCATCTCTTCTCTCTGTAACTCTGTATTTCTTTTTTTAAAGATTTATTTTTATTATTTTTTTATTGGAAAGGCAGATATACAGAGAGGAGAGACAGAGAGGAAGATCTTCCATCCGATGATTCACTCCCCAAGTGAGCGCAATGGCTGATACTATGCCGATCTGAAGCCAGGAGCCTCTTCCGGGTCTCCCACGCGGGTGCAGGGTCCCAAAGCTTTGGGCTGTCCTCGACTGCTTTCCCGGGCCACAGGCAGGGAGCTGGAAGGGAAGTGGGGCTGCCGGGATAGAACCGGCGCCCATATGGGATCCTGGGCGTGCAAGGTGAGGACTTAACCACTTGCGCCACCGCGCCGGGCCCTGTAACTCTGTATTTCTAATTAAAAAAAAAAAATCTATTGTTTAAAGATGAAGTAGAAGGGTAAACACAGCACCCAACACAGACGGCAAATTCTCAACAAAGGGTGGGCAGTTAGAAATGAGTATAATGTGGTATCACCACCTGGGAGGGCCACCCTGTGGCAAGCACTTAACCAATTCCATTGAGATTTTCACAAGTTTTGCTGCAGGAGCGCCCCCAACTGGATTCAGCTGGATATGCGTGATATGCAGGACAGGTATAGACTGGTGGTGGTGGGTTGCGAGGGTCCTTGGGTTTGCCTGCCTGCAATTCCCTCAGGGGCCTAGATACTCCAAGTACTCTGAGAGGAGCTATTTCCTGGGGGCTCCTTGGGGTGTGTGTGTGTGTGTATGTGTGTGTGGGTGGAAGGGAGGCAGTCCAGACAACTCCCTGAACTGTGGGAAGGTCAGGGTCTTCCTCTATCTCATCCAGATTGCATTTGACTGAGGATGCTGCAACTTCCCCAACTAATTACAAGGTGTGACCGAAACACACATGCGCCTTGTCACCTCACAGGGTTTGTCATCTGACTCTTGGATAGCCATTCTCTTGTTTCCTTGCCTATCCTGCAGGATGGCGAGCTCTCACAAGGAAGACCTAGCTCTTGCTCATCTTCATGTTCTAAGGGTCTGGAGCAAACATCTCTGCACAGAGTGGAGCCCGTTTTCCGAGTGGATGAGCCGGGGGCTGAGCTGAGCAGGTGAAGTGAGCAGTTACAGCACATTGCAGGCCGTGCAACTGAGAGGGCGGGGCAGTCAGCGAATGGGGCACGCAAAGGAAGAAGGGGGCCACGCGGCTTCTGCCAGGGCCAACAAGACTCCCCGCACAGCACTTGGTATCCTGTCCACTCCAGGGCCTGCATGTCCACCAGAACCAGGGGCTGGATGGGTAGAGAGAGCTGAGAGAGCTGAGAGCTCTGCCCCATCATGTCCTCAGCTGCAGGCCCTGTTTCTTACCGCTGGGCAGCAGTTTTATCACCAGCATTGCGTAAGCGATGGGGTTGCAGCTGCTGCTGGCCCCGCAGAACTTCTGACACTCGGAAGGTACCACACACGCCACTTGCTCTGGAAAGAGAAGCGACGGTTGCGTCAATGCTTGGGCCTTGGCGCTCTCCGGGCTGGGCTCCAGGAAGAGGAGGAGTGTGCTCCTGATCCACTGGGGACTGTTCTAGCTCACGGAAGAAGGGGCGTGGCCCACAGCAAGTCACTCGGCCTTGATAAGCTGTTTAGTGGCCCCAGCCAGGTGCCAGGAGAGCCAACAGATGGTTCTTTCACATACTACCTTGCCAACAACTTACAACCTTACTTCCTTGACCCTGATGTGGGCGAGTAGTGACTTGGGATGGGGAGTGGGTTCCAGCTCTCAAGGGGGCATAGGAATCTAGTTGGCACCCCACAAGGATACAGCACTTAATGAACATATCAAATAATTTCCTGACAGCTGGACTCTAAGTTGGGGATGCTGGGACTTTTTTTCTGATAAAATGGCAAAGAAATTTAGGATAAAAGAAGAGACAGAATGGGGACTGGCACGGTGGCCAGGATTCATCTCCCAGTCCTAACCTTAGGAGAGACCTCTGGGAGACCTGATAACTCTACCTGCAGTCCTTGTCTCTAAGAGAGGGGAGGCTGATCAGGATCAGAATCCAGCACTTTCCCCCCTGGGGTAGCGTTCGGCACATTAATTAAGAAGCAGCTTGGGAAAGACTGCGTCCAATGTCAGTGCCCCAGCTCTGATCTTGAGTCCAGCTTCCTGCTAACGTGCACCCTGGGGAGGCAATGGGTGATGGCTCAAGTCCTTGAATCCTTGCCGCTCGTGGGATGGCGAATCCAGATGGAATTTCTGGCTCCTCCCTTATCTCTCTTGCCTTTTAGGGAAATAACCTCAAGCCGAGTTTACCTGTGTACAGGATGCGGCTGATCATCCCCGGCATCACGAGCGTGAACAGGTGCAGCACCTTCAGGTACGCGCACATAAGGCAGCCACCTTTTGCTTGAGTTTTGTTCTTCCCTGCCAGGCACAACTGGAAGAAAACCTGCCAAGGAAACGCAAGCAGGTGAAGCTGGTGAGGGCTTCACTGAGCGCAGAGAGCCAGGAGGTATACCTCCGCCACACAGAGGAGTACTGGGACCTGCTGTAAGCAGGAGGAGGCGTCGTTCCCCTGCTCCAAACTCAAGCCCGCCTGCGGCGAGTTTTTGCAGAAGAGCTTCTCTTTTATCCAGACATCTCTGGGGTATCTGGGAGCTGGGGAGATGTGCGTGAGTGGAGAGCATGCTTTGTCCCACATGTGGCTGCCGGAGGGGACAGGGCTGCCACGTGTGACTCTGGCCTCATTGCTTGCTGAGTGCCAATTAGGGCAGCGGAGTGTTGACAAGCTGTCCTCTGGCAAGGACAAGACTCCCTCCTAGAGGTCACAGATGTCTCTGCTGGGTGGAAGGAACAGGCCCTGGTGACTCCACGTAAAACTAAAGTGGGTGCAGAAGCAGAGAGTGCCTGCTTCATCCAAGCTGAGGGGGGGTGGGGGAAGACGGTGGCTGGGAGGAGGAGGACTGTGCTTTGGTGCTGTCGCTGAGATGCCTCTGCCCCACACCACAGTGCCAAGGTTCGAGTCTGGGCCTCCTGTCCAGTTCCGGTTCCCTGCTGATGTACATCCCATGGAGGCAGCAGGTGAATGCTCACGGACGTGGGTCCCCACCACCCACGGGGGTCAGGGTAAGATCTGATGCAGTTCCCGGCTTCTGGATTTGGTCCTCCCAGTACTTGCTATGCTGCAGGTTTTTGGGGAGTGCGCTGGTAGATGGAAGCAGAATAAAGATGTGGCCCAGGGCATTAAGTCAATGAAAGAAAAATTATGCTCTTGAATGAATAACACTTAAGTGAAAACATTTCTACAGTGTGATGGTGACCAAAAGGCACAGGATGGAAAACAGCATACATACCATGACCCGATGCCTAGGGAAAAAATCCATAGGAAGAAACCAATGTGGCAACACTGGTTAACCAAGGGTTGGGGCAGGGGGGAGGACTAGGATTTTCATTTTCTTTAGATTTTCTTATTTTTCCAAGTGCATTTTAAAAAAGGATTTTATTATTTTATTATTTTTAATTTTTTATTGGAAAGTCAGATTTACAGAGAGAAAGAGTCTTCCATCCACTGGCTCACTCCCCAAGTGGCTGTAAGGACTGGAGCTGAGTCAAGAAATAGGATTTTCTTTGGGATCTCCAACGCAGGTGCAGGATCCCAAGAATCTGGGCTGTCCTCTACTGCCTTTCCAGGCCACAAGCAGGGAGCTGTAAGGGGAGTGGAGTACCCGGGACACAACCAGTGCCCATATGAGACTCCAGAGCATAAAAGGTGAGAATTTAGCCACTGAGCCATCATATTGGGCCTAATGCATACTCTGGCTATCCTTACAATGCCCAAATTAAACTTTAGTCTTTAAGATTTCTGTATCAATGTTCATAAATTTATTTTGCTTTAATTTCTTCATACAGCTTTGAAACCTAGGTTATCCTGCTATCATAAAATGATATGGGTAGCTTTCACTTTTTAAAATTTTTCTAGAACATTTTATAGAGGATTAGAGAAAAGTTATCTGGGACTGGGGAGGTAGGTCAATGGCTAAATCCTCACTTTGTCAAGTGCCAGGATCCCATATTGTGCCAGTTGGTGTCCCAGCTGCTCCACTTCAGATCCAGCCCCTAATTTATGGCCTAGGAAAACAGTAGAGGACAGCCCAAAACCTTGGGACTCTGCACCCATGTGGGAGACCCAGAGGAAGTTCCTGGCTCCTGGCTTTGGATCAGTTCAATTCCAGCCACTGTAGCCTCTTGGGAAGTGAAACATTGGATGGCGGATCTTTCTCTCTGTCTCTCCTTCTCTCTGCAAACCTAATCTATGTTTCCAATAATCTTTAAAAAGAAAAGAAGGAAAGAAGAAAAAAATTCCTGCCTGCTGGTTGCCTGGGCAGCCTGCCTGCCTGCCTGCCTTCCTTCCTTCCTTCCTTTCTTCCTTCTTTCCCAGCTATATGGGCCACAGCTATAGCAGAGATGTCTGGAATTATCATTTGTATTCTTTTCATCTGCCCTAAGTGGCATTTTGTACTTTCCCAGTAATTTGTCCATTGCAGATGGGTTTTGCAAATGTACCAATATGTATGTATTCAACATGTTTAAAAGTAATTTCTGGGTCTTCATTGTGGCCTAGCAGCTAAAGTCCTTGGCTTGAATGCACTGGGATCCCATATTGGCGCTGATTCTGAACCTAGCAGCCCCGCTTTCCATCCAGCTCCCTGCTTGTGGCCTGGGAAAGCATTCAAGGACAGCCCAAAGCCTTGGGACCTTGCACCTGTGTGAAAGACCCAGAAGAGCTCCTGGCTCCAGATCGGCTCAGCTCCAGCCACTGCAACAACTTGGGGAGTGGATCATCAGACAGAAGATCAATCATCCTCTCTGTCTCTCCTTCTCTCTATATATTTCTGCCTTTCCAATAAAAGTAAATAAATCTTTTTTTAAAAAAGTAATTTCTAAGGGTTGGCATGGTAACCCAATAGTTCATCTTCCTGCAAGCACCTGCAACTCAGCTGCTCAGCTTCCCATCCAGCTCCCTGCTTGTGGCCTGGAAAAGCAGTGCAGGGTGACCCAAGTCCTTGGATCCCTGACGCGTATGGGAAACCCAAAAGAAACTCCTGGCTTCGTATCAGCTCAAGCTCTGGCTATTGCAGCCACTTTGGAAAGTCAACTAAAGATGGAAGATCTTTCTGTCTCTCTTTCTCTTTGTGAATACACCTTTCTAATAAAAGTAACTTTTAAAAAAGTAATTTCTGAAAAATTCTGTATTCTCACATGCTTCCTTCCTGATGGGTATTTTGTGTGAATCTCACTTTTTTTCTTTCCATCTCAGTCAGAAGACATCCACCTCAAATAAACCAAATAAACCTCTTGACTTCCTACAGTCCGACCTCAGGGGTGTCATTATAGTAACAGAAAATTGTCTTTCATGATTTTATTTCTCCTTGTGTATCTGCCTTCTTAATCTTCTTCGGTCTATTGGTCTTTATGCAATTTTTTTATTTCAGTGTTTAGCTTATTACAGCTAACTTTTCACATTTACCAAAATGTGCATTATACTATCTACAATATGCCCTAAAAGCTGACATGCGGTGTTTTCATCGCCATTCAGTTATAAATGCTATTTTGTTTTTGCTTTCCAATCCACAAGCTATTTAATAGCGTGCTACTTAATTTTCAGACATAAGAGATTTTATCAGTTACTCTTTTGCTATTAGTCTTAATTCTCATTCATGTAAACACAGTATATGGTATCTATCTGTTGATTAGAATATAATAGGGCCTCTTTTATAGCCTGTTTATAATCAATACTCATAAATGTGCTTAAAACATAGGTCTACTGTTTATTTGACACAGTTATACAACTAAAATACATAAATATACATAAATACATATGACCCTGCAACCTAGCCTGCTAGTGGCACTGTTTAGTTTCTGACGATCGCTCTTACTTTTCTCTTACAATTGCATCTAAAAGGAAATATTAACATCTATAACTAGGAAATATTAACATCTGTAACTGGAGCTGATTTTTAAGTTGAAATCCAAGTTGGCATAGTGAGAAAAGACCAACAAGCAAGAGGCTCAAGGAGAAAAAACAGAAGGAATAGGCCTTTCATGATTTGTAGGTGATACGTGGTGTCGATTAAAAATTTATAGAAAGTTATTAAAATTCAGGAGAGCAGCTTTTTGGTTGGATATTAGAATAAATTTAAATTTTGTTTTAAAGATTTATTATGGAAAGTCATAAATACAGAGAGGAAAAAAGCCAGGAACTTCTTCTAGCTCTCCCATGCAGGTGCAGGGTCCGAAGGCTTTGGGCTGTCTTTGACTCCCAGGCCATAGGTAGGGAGCTGGATGGGAAGCAGGGCCACTGGGATTAGAACCAGTGTTCATATGCGATCCCAGCGCATGCAAGGTGAGGATTTAGCCGCTAGACTACCACGCCTGGCCCAGAAAAAAATTTAAATTTGTATCTCTGAACATATATAATAAGGAATTGGGACATGTAATTATGCAAATGAAATGTACACATAAGGTCACTAAGGGTTAGGCAAGTGTTGTAGTGATGTATGCCCAAGAACGGTCAAAGCGCCAAGGGCTGTAGGGCAAACCCAGGAAATCTCATCACTCGTTAGCGAATGCTCAGGTGTACTGTGGTATTCGGACACATCGGAAGATGAAATACAGAGGTGGATGTTCAGCCTGGTGGTTAAGGTGCTGGCGGGATGCCTGCATCCCGTGCTGGAGTGCCTGTTGGGTGAGTCCCTGTCACCCAGGTGGGAAACTTGTCCTGAGGTCCCCACTCCCAGCTCCTGTGTAGCCCAGCTTTGGCTATCTGGGGTCACGTGGGGATTAGAGAACTAGCAGATGGGAGCTTATTTTGTTTATCTATCTATCTCTGTTTCTCAAAAATTTTAAACATCCTTAAGAAACGAAAATGTGGAGGCCTGACAAGACAGCCTAGTGGTTAAAGTCTTTGCTTTGCATTCGCCGGAATCCCATATGGGTGCCAGTTCTAATCCCTGCTGCCTTACTTCCCATCCATCTCCCTGCCTATGGCCTGGGAAAGCAGTCAAGGACAGCCCAAAGCCACGGGACCCTGTGCCTGTGTGGGAGATGTGGAAGAAGCTCCTGGCTTCTGATTGGCTCAGCTCTGGCTGATGCGGCCGCTTGGGGAGTGAGCCAGTGGGTGGAAGATTTTTCTTTTTGTCTCTCCTTTTCTCTGTAAATCTGCCTGTATAATAAAAATAAAATAAAGCTATAAGAAAAGAAAGGAAAATGTGGCTAGTTATTCACCAATATGAAAGTACAGAAAACCAAAGGACGCTGGCAGTGGCAGCAGCACCTCACGTTAAATCATTCACACACATCTATTCGCTTATATGTATTGAAAGGTGTCTGAAAGCATATGGTATAATACTGTGCTGTCACTTTTTGATGGGATTTTGGTGCTCCATGCTTGAACTTTGTCTTATTTTATTTTAGCAAGGATGCATTACTTTTATTACCAAGTAATGGCTATGTTCTATTTTTTAACTGGGGTGGTGGTCACATGAATGCTTTTCATATCTTTCTGCTTCCCCATAATGGGTTTAAAAGAATGCGTCTGCTCTATGGCAATCAGAACAACAGCAAAAAAATTCATTTTCATTTGTAGGGGAACCTGTGTTTTAGCTAATGATGGGGAAGGAAAAAAATTAAAACTATGTTGTGGATGGGGATGTGGAAAAATTTTTTTTATTTGCTTTCACTGGAAGGTAGACAAAGATAGGAAGTGAGAGAGAGACTCTTCCAGCTGCTCTCTCACTTCCCATATACGTGCAGCAGTGGAATCTAGGAGCTGGAAACTTCATCCAGATCTCCCGGGTGGGTGGCAAGAAGCTAACTCCTTAAGCTGTCACCTCCTGCTTTGTGGGGTGCACACTAACAGGTCTTGAAGAAGTGGAGTCGAGACTCCAGGCATTCCAGTAGGGGATATCGACACACCCAAAAGCATCTTCAAACTTCCATGTCAAACACCCATCATGAAAACTGTGTTTATATTATGACTTCTTATAATGCTATTTAGGCAATAGGTGAAAACAATTAGGGAAATCTGACCGTGGAGAGCAGACAGGTCTGCCAGTCCTTCCAGCAGCAGATACTGTGCCGCAGCCTGGAATGTGGACCCCCAAGGGGCCCCATGGGGCAGTCATTTTTTCAGTGATGACATCTCTAATTACCTGATCGGTGCACCAGTAGTAGAAGCTGACACAGGGGGTACCGAAGACAAGCCCAGGCCAAGGAAGGTCCCCGGAGACAGCATCGCGGAAGATGTGGAAGGCATCCCGGCGGGGGAGGTAGCAATCCGGCTTGGCAGTCCAGTTGCCATCACTTATGATGCGGGGAATGGCCTTCGGGTACTTATTCAGCAGCTCCTGATATCCTCCCACATTCTTAAAGGCTGGAAAACATCACAGGTATCAGCTCCTTAAACAGCACGTTAGCACATGACTCAAGGGCCAAGATGGCACAGTCAGAGCCTCTGAGACCAACTGCATCTCATCCATAAACTTGTGATGGGGCGCAGTGACATAGTCAAGACCTTTTTCTGGAAGAGCCACGGGCCTTGGTGGTCTGTGCACCCAGCGTCCTTCCCTTCCTGCTTCTGGTCACAGAACCCCTAGTTTCAACTCATATCCCATGATGTGTGGGTTAGTAAGGTGGGCCTAGTCAAACTGCCTCCCGCCCCAGCTCCATCATGGGACCCAGGCTTGGCCCAACGTTTCCCTGGGTACCCAGGCACTAACTGATGTGTGACAGATGGACAGGAGACCCAAGCTGGGTGAGATCAGAAGTGGCTCTAGGACTCTTCTACTGAAGCAACTGTGAAAGATGGCTTCCTCCCATGGGGCTCGCAGTGAGCGGGACCACCTGAAGCTCTTTCACCTGCTATGTTGATTCAGAGTCCTGGAGCTAGTCCATCCCCTTGTGTACGGCTACACAAAACAAAGCAAGTACGTACTTGCATACACTAGGTAGGAAAGAACATCACAAATAAAGGAATCTTGACCGTGACATGAATGAATTTCATGAAATGCCAGAAGAATATTTCTAAAACTTCATCAGTGAAATTTTCCTTAAGATCCTTTAGAATTTCTCTTCTGATATCCTAACAGTGGTGCAGATTTGTAACATTAAAGGGCAAAAAAATTTTACAAGGTAGTAAAGCATATACTTAAGAAAACAAACATCCTTTTTGAGGGGGGCGGCGGGGAGTGGATGCATGTTAAATCATATTCCTTTTAAACAGCCTTGATCATTGAAATGAGCTCTGATCATTTGGAGTCAAGACCAGTCAATGAGAAGAAACTGAGTCACTACAAAATGAATAGGTATTTTGGGTCCTGCAAGATGGCTCAATGGCTAAATCCTCATCTTGCAAGTGCTGGGATCATATCCCAGATACTCCACTTCCCATCCAGCTCCCTGCTTGTGGCCTGGGAAAGCAGTCAAGGACGGCCCAAAGCCTAGGAACCAAGCACATGCGTGGGAGACCCAGAAGCAGCTCCTGGCTCCTGATTGGCTCAGCTCTGGTCAACGTGGCCATTTGGGGAGTGGACCAGCAGACGTAAGATCTTTCTGTCTCTCCTCTCTCTGTAAATCTTTCTAATAATAAAGTTTTTAAAAAAATTGCTTACTTTTTATTTATTTAAAAGGCTGAGGGGCAGAGAAAGAGAGAGAGAGATAAAGAAAGAGGGCGGTATCTTCTGTCTGATTGCTGGTTCATTCTCCCCCAAAATGTGTTCAATAGCCAGAGCTGGGCCAGGCTGAAGCCAGGAGGTCAGAGTTCCCTGCAGCTCTCCCAAGTGCATGGCATGTACATAAGGACTTGGGTCATCAACAGCAGCCTCCCGGGGTGCACGTTAGCAGGAAGCTGGGACAGGAAGCAGAGCCAGGGCACAAACCCAAGCCCTTGGGTAAGGGACACAAAAGTGACATTTAAACTACTATTCCAGGGCCCATTGTGATAGCCTAGTGGCTAAAGCGTTCATCTTGCATGTGTTGGGATCTCATATGGATGCCAGTTTGTGTCCTGGCTGCCCTACTACCCATCCAGCACCCTGCTTGTGGCCTGGGAAAGCAGTAAAGGATGGCTCAAAGCCTTGGGACCCTACACAGAAGACCCAGAAGAAGCTCCAGGCTCCTGGTTTTGGATCATCTTAGCTTCGGCCGTGCAGCCACTTGGGGAGTGAATCAACAGGTAGAAGATCTTTTAGTATCTCCTTCTCTCTTTGTATGTCTGCCTTTCTAAAAACAAAAATAAATAAATTTTTAAACTACTGTTCCAAAACCCACCCTGTGGTCTCTGCTTCTGCTAACACTCTTCTGAATGTCTTAGCTGATGTAATACAGCAAGAAAAATAAGCAAAAATTACCAATCAAGAGAGGAAGAAAACTAAAGTATAACTTTTGGACCTGGGTGCGTGGTACTAGGGTGTTTTTGATCTTTCGTCAATCTGTGCCTACTGTGAAAAGCTGATTACAAATGGAAAAGCAAAAAAAAAAAAAAAAAAAAAGTGGCTGTGTGACATGGGTGATTCGCCTATAACATGGTACTAGTGACAGAACAGGCTGCAAAACTCAGTTTTGATGCTATGAAACATGTATTATCTTGTGCGTTTTAAAAAGCTTGCATGTGTGAAGAATGGCTTGGGAAGGATACACACAAAACATAATCCCGGCTGTCTGTGGGGAGTAAAACTGGCGAACTGCGTGGCCCTTTTGTTTGCTGAAAAATCAAATTATACACACTTCGATTCCCACTGTGACTAGCTTTGAAGAATAGCAACTCAATTGGTGGATATACAACTTGGTGTGTATTTTTAAAAGAAAATAATAATTTCATTATTTTGTACAGGCTTACTTCATCAAAAGCTAACCTGAGTACCCCAGTTAAAAAATAGCATTAAATTTCTCAGTGAAGAATATGTTAACTATTTAGAGAGAAAATTTTTGCTGACATTAAATGGAATAGTGCACCTAATCCTAAAATTTATTTTATTTGGATGCCATTATCAATTGTTGGGGGTAGCCATTTTAAAGTTGGTTGGTTTTTTGGTGTTTTTTTTTTTTTTTCCTATTTAACACGAGCACATAATTGACCACAATGGTTCACCATGGTTTATAGTTTATGGGTTGCTGTTTCAGTTAGTCACTATTTCCCAGTGCGGCTAAAAACAATCCAATTCCTTGAACCATGGCTGAAATGTATTTTGTGTCCTAGCAACAGAGTGCTAAGCACCCTGCATGGAGCACTAACGCTCACAGAATGGTAAGAGGGAGGCCTGGGTGGATCTGCGTGATTCTACCTGTTTTTCATTCTGTGGGGCCCGGAAGCATTGCTCCACGGAACTGTGATGCCTCAGCTTGGCTCATGTTTCATGATAGTAACTTTTCACTCCCAGAGCCCAGAGCTTTTCCTTCTACATTTCCGCAAGACCCATCTCTGACTCACGGATTACTGGGTGACACTAAAACTGACTAAGCTCACACTCCTGGCTGTGGAAGAAATTTCCATGTTGAGGCAGGTTCGTCTTCCATTATGGTATTAAAATATGTTAGCGCGTATGGTAGGCTTGGTGCTGGAAAGATCCAGCTTAGGGTGTGTGTTTTGTTTTTGGTGTGTCTCGTGACTAAGCTACTTGAGACTCATCAGCTGTAAAACTGGAATAATTAAAAATAATCATGCCTCATGACAACTGCTCTCATTAAATGAGGCGATATAGATAAATGCCTACACTGATGACTCAACTCATATCAGCTATTATTTTCATTCTTATAATTTAGTAACTACTTATTTAGTAGGGACTTAATGCATAAAGTTGCACTTGGTGTGTGTGTGTGTGTGTGTGTGTGTGTGTGTGTGTGTGTGTGTGTGGTGGGGGAATGCAATGGTTCTGGTTCTTAGCAAGTTTTAGACTTGGGGGGAGTATCATTTACTTATGTGAAGCAATCAGTGAGTAATTAGAATATGTATCCTGGTCCCAGGACTCCCGGTGTATGCCAAAATCCAAAAACGTATGAGTGCCTTACATAAAATGACACAGTATTTGCATATAACTTATACATATCTTCCTGTAGAGTTTAAATCATCTTTAGGTTATTTATACACTACCTAGTGAAATTAAAATGCTGTGTAAATAGTTGCTATACTGTTTTTCTTAGGGAATTACAAGGAGGAAAAAAGAAACTTTGCATCTGTTTAGTATAGGTGCGATTTTTTTCTCCAAGTAGTTTTGACCTCTGATTTGCAGAATCCACAAACACAGAAGGTTGACTGTGTATATATATATATACATATATAAAAATACATAATACATATATATATATTATATTTAATCTTAAGTTGTGCAGAAGTGATGTGAGTCCAGAGGAGAAAGACGTGTTGATAGAAGAATGATGGAATTGCACCTTTGGGAGGGTGGCTCTTCCACTGGCCTCAACAGCTGGATTCTATCAAGTGGACCAAAGGGACCCTCTGCTGGAGAGGAGGAGCCTGAACAAACCCACCACAGGATGGCAGGATGCAACGGGGGACACCAACGCACTAAGAGTTTCTCGCCTCCACTCTGCCTTCTCCTGAAGTGAACAGAAGCTTCCTCCCAACACTTGCAAGGCCTTCGAGAATGTCCTTGGGTTTTGAGGACCTCGGGGCTCCTTCATCTGCCAGACTGTATCTGGTGTGCCCGATCTTGTGAAGTGTGACTCACCAAAGCCCGTTAGCAACAAGGATCCAAACACCATGAGGATAGTGTGTAAACTGTTGGTGAGACTCACGGTGGCCAAACCACCTGGAAGACAGAGAAAGGAAAGCTGCCTCATCTGCTCCACATTCGGGCCTTCTGGGCCTCTAATTCAGCGCTTCTTATATTTAAGGTTTGGCGCATCCCGTTTCCTTTCACAAACGTCTTCATGATCTTTCTGCTGGATTCTTTATCTTGCCCTCCTGTGTCCCAGTTTCCCTTTACTTCCCACTCTGAGGATAAATAAAAGCCTGGAAGTGGTTTTCCTAGGCAAACATGTTACATCTTTCATCACAAAAAGCTCAGTTGGTAAGTAACAACAGCAGCATCTTTGGCTTCAAACTGTTAGATGTTAATGGTACCCTCGGGCCCTGTTGTGACCACCACAATGTCAGAGAACGTGACCCAGAGTTCTGTGGGAAGCACACGCCTTCCTACCGCAACTTACTGATGGAATGCATTTCACTCTGCCCGGGACTCTGCCAGGGACGCACATGCACACACACACACACCCAAGATTTGTATTTGTGACTGGAAGAAATGAAGGATAAGAGCACCCATTCTCCAAATCTAGAATGAAGCTGCCTAGGTCAGAATTACTTATGGACAAGATTCCACCTGAAGACCTTACTCCCTTTCCCCTCTTATCCCCTTTGCAGTCCCTTTGAAGAGTCAGTCTTCTACCTGGTCGCTGGACTGCTCAGGTACCCCTCCTCGGCACTGCTCACTGTCTGTGTGGTATCCATCCCCCTGGGGTGGTTTACAGCAACCCTCACCTGTGATAGTGTAAATGCTTGTGATGCCCAGCAAGACCAGGATGGCCAGGTAAACGTCCACGCCCAAAATCATCCTCAGGAACATGGCACAGTGACTTATCTCCAGCTGAAAAGAATACAAAGGTCAATGGCTGCACTTCCGTTTCCAGTTGAATCAACAATTCATTCAGCGAACACAATTTAGCCCCTCTTCTACCCTGGAATCTCAGAGTGCTTTTTAAATTTAATTAATTAATTTATCATCATCATCATCATTATTATTATTAGGTAATTCTGCCACTGCAAGTGGCAATGAGGACAGTTTCTTAAGAGCCATCCGGCCTTCTCTGTTAACGGCCAGATGGCAGACATGGTTGGCATCACCGGCCACACACCCTGTCTACTCTTGCAATCCTTTCAAACTGTAAAAATTGCCCTCGGCTGAAGGGCTGTCCGGGGCAGCTCATTGCCTGGATTGGCCCATGAATGGGATTTGTTGACCCCTAGCTTAGTGGACACTGATCTCCAAACATCTGCACATGATTTATCTGGCTAGCCTCTTGCTTTGTGATTCTGGCCTCCAAAGCCTGGCATCTAGTGGGCAGAGTGCCATCTGTCCAATCATTCACCCCACATTCGCTGAGGGCCACACGTGTCAGAGACACTCGGAGTCCAAAGACATGAGGAACACTGCCACCCAGATACTGTCTTTGAGGAGCTTATATTTTGTGAAGGAAACGGAAATGATGTGGGCTCCTTGTTCACCTATGCAAAAATAGGTATCGCTCAGATGCCCTGTGTGCTAAACGTTTTCTCAGTGCAGGCCTAATGCAAGGGAGCAAGCCAGACCTGGTCCTCAGATCCAAGAGGGAGGAGGTGGGGAAGAACAGACAAGAAGTAAACAGATAAACACTCTCATTCGGTGATCAGGACAACAAAGCAAAGCAGTCATGGAGTAGACACCGACCGGGCAGATTGTTGAGAGTCATTTCCAAGGAGGGAGTCGTTTGCCCTCCAAGGAGTGAGGAGTCAGTCAGTCACACAGAAATCTGGGAAAAGAAATTTCTAGACATGGTGTAGAGAAGCACCTCAGTATCTACTTCCCAGGGACCATATGCTCTCTGCTCATCAATGCTTACAGCTGCCTGGCTTCAACTTGCTGGTTGGAGAGACTCAAGAGCACACACAGCATAGCTTAGAGCAAAGGGTGGGCAGGCAGGGGCAGAAAGGCCCAGGGATGGGTCTTGAAAAACAAAATGCAGCGGTTTCTACTTCCTTTTAAGGCGAATGGAAACCTGTGGGCTGTTCTAAGTGCATCGCCCGGCGACCAGAGATGGCTCGTGAACACCACTGCATTGGGGCTGGCCTCACCTGATGATAATGACGGGGGAAGGTCAAGGTGTTTGGGGAATGCAGAGGAGACTCCTGTAACCTACACATCAGGTACAGTGGCATGTTATTTTCAGCTATTTTTTCCTGCTCTGGAATTTAGTCAGCAGAGGCCAGAAGCTACTGTAAGGAGCCTTGGAATAAACCACTGGAATAAATCTAGCATGATCTCAAACCCTGCCTTTTGATTTATTTTTAACTTTCTTGGGCTAGCTGTTGCCTGACTCACCGAGATCCTGTTGAAGATACAGAAGAATAAATACAAAACAGAGATGAAGATCTGGATCCGGAGGCTCCCGAATCTCTTCCTCAAATATTCTGGAGTTGTCACCACCTGGACAAAGGAGGAGAGGTCAGTATCGCACAGCCAGCGCAGAGGAGGCAGGTCCATGGGAGTGAGCCTGAGTCGCCGAGTGCTGTCAGAGATACTGCCTGTGGTGGCTGGGGGCCCAGTGGTCACAACCTCCGACACCTGTGAAGATGGGAGGACTAAGAAAGGCAAAGCTGTATTGTTGTCTTGAAGCAGCCTTAGCACCACCCAGCTTTCTGTGCAATCTTCAGAAGGCAGAAGGAAATCCAGTTAGCAGGGGGTGTCTAAGGAGGACAAGTCACTTTTATGGAATGATGGCAGAGGCAGACCAAGCGCTTCACCGTACATGACACAGGTCGCCAGTGCTCAACACTTGGCCTGCCCCCGGAAGGGCTCCAACCTGTGCTCAGGGCCCACACAGCTACCGTCCGTGCTCACATGTCACACGGCCCTGCTGTGCTGTTCCACCGTCTCGGGCAGGAACAGTACTGTCTGTGCACTATGTTCTAGGGCCTGGCTCATGGCAGGTGAATAAACACTTGGTAAATTAACATCAGCATGAATTTGGCCCCAGTTGTCCTCATGTGCTCTTGCTTGTGGGGCTACACTTCCCAGCAGGCTTCATGGAGATCATGGACCCTCTACTACACACTGATAACTTGTGTTAGTCTCACCTTTTGCTTGGCGCAAAAATCATATGGCTCAGTGCGTCAGGAAGTTCTCCCAAGTTAGTTAATGCTCATTACTGATGCAACTTTGCTGGGACTGTGGCTAGCAAAATAGGATAGGCTAGATGGCTCAGACAACAGCAGCCTATCTCCTCACAGTTGTGGAGCCTGGAAGTTTAAGGTGAGGATAAGGTTGGTTTCTTTGGAGAGCTCTGATGGGAGGGTCTGTGGCAGGCAGATTCTCCTGGCTTGGGGCCTTCTTCCCCAGGCCCTCACACCACCTTCCTCTGTGCTTGGCAGTGTCCAAATTTTCTCTTCTATGAATATTGTACTGGATTAGGGCTCAAACTTAAATGGAATTACTTCCATTAAGACCTTACTTCAAAATCAGGTAACTTGCCTGGCCTAAGATCTGTAAGTATAATTTTATTAGTCAGCTTTTCATCACCATATGAAATACCTGGAACTAGCTACCTGTAAAGGAAGGGGAATTATTTTTGCTTATGGTTCTAGGGGTTCAAGTCCAAGACTGGGTTGCACCATTGGCTAGGCGTTACTGAAGCTGAAAGCTGGAGGATGGCAATGGTGGGGTGTGGAGGTACCGATTCTACAGTGAGCCACGGAAGGGCAGGGGTGATGAGGGGAGAGGGAGGGACAGGAAGAAAGGAAGGAAGGGAGGAAGGGAAGGAAGGAAAGAGGCAGGGAGGAAAAGAGAGAGAGATACTGGGCCTAACTCAGCTTCTACAAACATCCCTCTTGTGAGAACTACGTTCTGCGGGCATGCTGCCAACGCCCTAACCGCCTCCCACTAGGCCCGCCACCCAAACACTATAACCGGATTAAATTTCTACCCTCTCAGTATCATTAACTTAGGACTTTTGGGCTTAAACTCCAGGCTAAGTTTGGAAGCCAAATCATGTTCCCACCATAGTAATAATTAACTTTCTTTTTTTCCCTGAGCCTCTGCCGAGCCTCCTCTTGAAGCTGTACCCACTGACCATAACATTAAGCACATGAAACTTATTGTAATAACTACTTTCTTAATGACTAATAATAGCATCTTTTCATGCGATTATTTGTCATTCACACCATTTCCCTTCCTTCCTTCCTTCCTTCTTTCTTCTTTCTTTGTAAAACATTTCTCTTTATTGAAAAGGCAGAATTACAGAGAGAAAGAGAGACAGAGAGGAGGATCTTCCACCTACTGGTTAAAATTTATACACACATTTTATCCATAATAAAATACACACTCAGCAAATATATATAGATACATATATATACACACACACATATATGTATATGTAAATCTTTGTTGTTTGAGAAAGAGACAATTCTAGTAAACTCCTTTCTACTAGTTTACTACTCAAGCCTCCACAGTTGCCAGGCTGTGGCAGCCGAAGCCACAGATTGGACACAAGCTAGGTGGCCCACATGAGTAACAGGAGGCTGCAGTGAGGAGCTCTAACTAGAAGCTGAACCCAGACTCTCCTCTATGGGACATTATGTCTTAACCATGTTGCTAAATGATTGCTCCTATGTGTGTGTGTTTTTAAAGCTCTTACAACTCAGAAGATTTAAAAGACATTTCAAAAAAGGAAAACATGTAAATGGGGCCAGTGCTTTGGCTCAGCCGGCTAATCCTCCACCTCAAAGTGCAGACATTCCACATGGGTACCTGCTTCTGTCCCAGCTGCTCTACTTCCCATCCAGCTCCTTGTTTATGGCCTGGGAAAGCAGTAGAGGATGGCCCAAAGTCTTGGGTGCCTGCATCCACGTGGGAGACCCCGAGGGAGCTTCTGGTTCTTGGTTTCAGATCAGCTCAGCTCAAGCCATTGCAGCCATTTGGGGAGTGAACCAGTGCATGGAAGATCTTTGTCTTTCCTTCTCTATGTGAATCTGATCTGCCTTTTTGATAAAAATAAATAATTTTTTTAAAAGGGATACCTTCATTGGATATAGAATTCTTAGTTGACAGGTTTTTTTTTCTTTCAGCATCCTGAATGCGTAATTCTATTAATTACCGCATTATTTTTCTTATACTGTATTCTTTCTCTTTTTTAAAGATTTATTTTATTTATTTGAAATGCAATGTTACAGTGATAAGGGAGAGACATGGAGAAAGGTCTTCCATCTATTGGTTCACTCCCCAGATGACTGTAATGGCCAGGGGTGAACCAGGCTGAAGCCAGGGAGCAGGAGCTCCATGTGGATGGCTGAGGTCCAAGCAGGTAGGCCACCTTCCATTGCCCTTCCCAGGCCATAGGCAGGGAGCTGGATCTGAAGTGGAGTGGCCCTACATGTGCATTTTTCAACTAAATTCCCATGCTTTTCAAGTATGGAATTGCCTTTGAGCTATTTCCTTTAGTTTCAGTTTCTTTGTTGAGGGTTCCTACTTATTCATTAGCATCGCATTTTCATTTACTATTTATTATTTTTTTTTCTCACTAAATCAACATGTGCGTCCATACAGGATCAGTGTCTTTTTATTGCTTGCTTTTTTTTCTATTGGAGGGTGGGTCGCAATTATTTCCCCCCTTTCTTCGTATGTTTAATCATTTTTGGTGGAAAACTGGCCAATCCAGCTAATAAAATGTAGCAATTCAGAATCTTGTTTTGTTCTCCTGGGGATAGCTGTGTCTCGTTTTAGTAGGAATCCCAGCCTATACAAAATTGTACCAGATAAATCAAAATTCAAAATAAAAATCTATTAAAAAAAAAATCTTCCATGCCATTCCCTGCCGCCCTGTGATGTACAGAGCTCATGTTTCGGTCTTTTTGGCTTTGGGTTACTGGCTGCTTTGGCCGGCCCTCAGGAGGTTTCCTCTGCAGCTGTTTCATTTGGTAGTTAGCCAAGGATCTGGGCAAAATTCACACTCAGATTGGAGGGCTGAACCTCTCGTTGGTTGGTTCCCTTATTTCTTGGACTTCCCACTGCTTCGCCAGTCCTTATGTCTGTCCTTTGGCCATTCTGGGAAGAATTTCTTTTTTCTTTTCTTTTTATTATTTTTTTTAAGATTCCAGGTCTTCTATTCAGTAACACACAGCTATCCCTGCATATGTGCAAGTCTTGCAGCTATACCTGGAACCAACTATGAATTGAAAATTTTTTTACTAAATTGCATAGTTAGGGAACACACATAGGCACTTTTCTTTCCACCCTTCTTGAAGCCAATACAGCAAAAACAATTATTTACAATGGCATTTACTTCATGTTGTGTATCGTTTAGGTAGCTCTATTCCCGAGGCTGTGCATGGTTTATATCCAAATACTTTGTGATTTTCTAGAAGGGATCTGAGTCTGTAGCTCCCTCCAGGAGGTCCAGGGGGAATCCTAGAACCACTCCCCCAGACGTATTAAGGAACTTCTGTAGTTTATCTCAGTTTTTAAGGTCTTTTTTTTTTTTAATAAAGATTTTAAGCATTTTTTATAAAAGCCTTAAGAGATGAACTCAAAACAGGGTCCACCGTAAAACCTGTCATTGCTTTCTCTTTATCCAGGCATTTCAGGACTTCCGGGAGGCAGTGCAAATATCAAAAGGTCGGAAATCTTACGTGCCTTCTGGGAATTTTTAGTACCCATGCAATATTCATAAGACAACCATTGTGGAGAATCACATAATGATAATACTTACCTCAGCCTTGGCGTACAAAGGAAAAACTACCCAACCGAGCACACAGAGCTGAAGCGAAGACTGAAACCAAGAAGAGCAATCATCAAACTTATAGGCACACCACAATCTTTGCAATCAAAGAGTGAATTTGGGGGGACTAATCAAACCAACTTTCTTTTTTAAAATTTATTTATTTTTATTGAAAAGACAGATTTACATAGAGAAGGAGACAGAGAAAGATCTCCCATCTGCTGGTACACTCCCCAAACGGCTGCAATGGCCAGAGCTGAGCTGGTCCAAAGCTGGGAGCCAAGAATTTCTTCCAGGTCCCCCAGGCAGGTGCAAGGTTCCAAGACCGTGGGCCATCTTCTACTGCTTTCTCAGGCTGTACGCAGGGGAGCTGGATGGGAAATGGAACAGCTGGAACACAAACTGGTGCTGCATGGGATGCTGGCACTTGCAGGGAGAGGATTAGCCAATTCAGTCATGGCACCAGTCCCAATCAAATCAATTTTCAAGATTATTAAATTGGATTTATTATTTGCCTAATTCTAGATAGAAATAAAGGTAGATCACAATTAAATCAGGAAAAAATGATTTTACAAGAGAAGAAAAATCACAACCTATTCTAGCAAAAAAGGAATGTAGGAGTCCAGCGCGATGGCCTAGTGGCTAAAGTCCTCGCCTTGAATGCGCCAGGATCCCATATGGGTGTTGGTTAATCCCAGCAGCCCCACTTCCCATCCAGCTCCCTGCTTGTGGTCTGGGAAAGCAGTCGAGGACGGCCCAAACCTTGGGATCCTGCACCCGCGTGGGAGACCTGGTGGAGGTTCGAGGTTCCTGGTTGCTGGCTTTGGATCAGCGCAACTCCGGCCTTGGTGGTTACTTGCAGAGTGAACTATTGGACGGAAGATCTTCCTCTCTGTCTCTCCTCCTCTCTGTATATCTGACTTTGCAATAAAAAGAAAATAAATCTTTAAAAAATAAAAGGAGCGAAACTATATCAAAATTTCATGCAATTAAAATGAAGTAATGAATTAGGCTCTGGCTTTATTTACAAAGAAAGAGTAAGGTGAGTTGAATATGTCAAGAAAAGATGCTTTAAGATCCTTATGAGGGCCCAGCATGATAGCATAATGGTTAAGGTCCTCACCTTGGACGCACCGGGATCCCATATGGACACTGGCTCTAATCCCAGCAGCTCCACTACTTGTGGCCTGGGAAAGCAGCAGAGGAAAATTCAAAGCTTTGGGACCCTGCACCCACGTGGGAGATCCGGAAAGAAGTTCCTGGCTCCTGGCTTCAGATTGGCGCAGTCCCGGCCGTTGCGGCTGCTTGGGGAGTGAATCATCGGACAGAAGATCTTCCTCTCTGTCTCTCCTCCTTTCTATACATCTGCCTTTCCAATAACATAAATCTTTAAAAAATAAAAAAAGAGATTCTTATGAATGTGTAGCGATGAACAAAGGTTCTTATAGCCGATAAGAAAAAAGACAAGTGTCAGAGGATGGCATTTTCTGATTTATCAAACAAAGCAAGTGATGTTTACAGAGTGAGGTTAATAATGCAAGACTGATACATTATTTATAACTTAGACTTCCTACAACAAGTCTATTCCACAGGTGAAATAAATAATCTAACATTTAAGTCGCTCAGGGTTGAAATCTGGCATTTCTGGAGGATGAATGAGGAGATCTGTAGTAAATATTTACTATTGAATATGTGCAAGCGCTCACCTGAGCCCATTTTTGATATGCTGCTGCAAATGTCAAAGTATACACAGACAGGTATGCGTATGCGTCTGTATGTTCATATGTATACACATAACACTTACATACATGTACACATGCGCACTTTCATGTTTATTTGAATGTTGAAATCATGTTTTCTACCTGGCGAATCTAGCAATGCTATCTTTCTTGGCTTCCTGTGGTCATTACAATGTAAATCTAACAATCTTCTTTAAAAATTAAAACTGAGGCCCAGTGCGGTGGCAAAAGTGGTTGAGGTCCTCGCCTTGCACACCCGGGATCCCATATGGGCGCCGGTTCTAATCCCGGCAGCCCCGCTTCCCATCCAGCTCCCTGCCTGTGGCCTGGGAAAGCAGTCGAGGACGGCCCAAGGCTTTGGGACCCTCCACCCGCGTGGGAGACCCGGAAGAGGCTCCTGGCTTCGGATCGGCATAGTATCGGCCCGTTGCGCTCACTTGGGGAGTGAATCATCGGACGGAAGATCTTCCTCTCTGTCTCTCCTCTCTGTATATATCCGCCTTTCCAATAAAAAATAATAAAAATAAATCTTTAAAAAAAAAATTAAAACTGATTTCTTTCCTCCGTGACTCCTCTGGAAGTCTTTCAATATTTACTCCAAGTTGAATAATTTTTTTAAACAATTATGTGCTTAGATAAAAGGCAGACTTACAGGAAAAAGACGGAGAGAAAGGTGAAACGGAAAGAGGGAGGGAGTGGGGGAAAGGAAAAAGTGGAGAGGGAAAGAGACTTTCTGTAGAAGGATAATCTTTGAGTCACTGGTTCACTCCCCAAACGGCCACAGTGGCCGGGTGTGAGCTACGTGGCAGCCAGGAGCCTAGAGCTTCTTCTAGGTCTCCCGTGTAGGTGCCAGGAGCCAAAGACTTGGACTATCTTCTTCTGTTTCCCCATGTGTATTAGCAGGGAGCTGGAAGGGAAGTGGAGCAGCCAGAACTTGAACCAGCAACCATAGGGGATGCAGGTATTACAGGCAATGGCTTAACCCACTGTCCCCGCCTGCCACAACGTCCGTTCCGTGAGGAGTGTCTTACGTGTATCTGAGCTTCACTTGGACAACGATGAAGGCGAAGGATGACTGTGCGAAAAAAGCATTACTCACAACCCACTGCAGGGCGGCGTTGGCGATCCCTGAAGTAGCTCCTTTCGAGGACAGGCCCAGGAAGTGATTACTGCCGATATTTGCGGCATACAAGGAAGCGCCTACCTGAAAAATCAAAAGATGATTACGTATTAGAATTATTAGCCCCACTGTATGAATTTTTTTTTTTACACATGTGAATTCCCATGGAATGTCACATTTTCTTAACAGGGATTAGAGGTCTGGGTAGAATTTCTGTTGCTGTCTCTTTTATACAACACCGAACCATTCGTTAGGAGCCAAGGGAAGAAGGAGAAAAAAACCAAAGAAACGAAAAAACCAAATGTAATAATTTTATTTCTCTTTTGATTTCTCTCTACTCTTTTCTATTTCTTTTTCCTTCCTCCCTTCCTCCCTTCCTTCCTTCACCCTGAGCTCCTACCTGCTGCTTCATTCCATACAATCCCCTACCCGGGCCCAGCACAGTAGCCTAGTGCCTAAACTCCTTGCCTTGCATCTACTTATATCCCACATGGGTGCTGCTTCATGTTCCACCTGCTCCACTTCCCATCCAGCTCCCTGCTTGTGGCCTGGGAAAGCAGTAAAGGAAAATCCAAAGCCTTGGGACCCTGCACCCACATGGGAGACTAGGAAGAAGTTCCTGGCTCCTGGCTTCGGATTGGCTCAGCTCCACCTTCTTCTCTAAATCTTCTTCTCTCTCTAAATCTGCCTTTCCAAGAAAACAAATAAATCTGCAGAAGCCCATAGCAGCCAGGTCTGGCCAAGGAAAAGCTGAGAGCTAGGTATTCAGGTCTCATTTGTGGCTGACAGGAACCAATTCCCCAGAGTCATCACTGCTGCCTTCTATCGCCACTGCTCCCCAGGATGTGCCAACAGGTAGCTGGAGTGAAGAGCCAGGACACAATGTTGTGAACCCAGATGCTCTGGAATGAGACGGGAGCATCTATTTATTTATTTATTTATTTATTTATTTATTTATTTATATAAAAAGGTCTATTTTCATTGGAAAGTCAGATTCACAGAGGAGGAGAGACAGAGAGGAAGATCTTCCGTCCACTGATTCACTCCCCAAGTGACTGCAATGGCTGGAGCTGAGACAATATGAAGCCAGAAACTTCTTCCGGATCTCCCACACGGGTGCAGGGTCCCAGGGTCTTGGGCCGTCCTTGTCTGCTTTCCCAGGCCACAAGCAGGGAGCTGGATGGGAAGCGGGCCCACCGGAACATGAACCGTTGCACATATGGGATCCCGGCACGTGCAAGGCGAGGACTTCAGGCGCTAGGCTACCATCTTGGACCCAATGGGAACATCTTGATTGCTGAGCAAAACACCTAACCCAGTTAGCCAGGCTTACATTACTATTTCCAATGTGGAAATAGTAGCAAAAATGTGATTTGTTTGAAATAATTTTAAAATATTATCAATCTGATCATCTGTAAGATACTGGTCAAAATAAGATGGTACATGGGCATGTTGCAATATAATGTGATATACAAATAAGGTAGCTCTGTTATATGACAAAAATAAGATAAATAATATATCACTACAGTTTTATTCATGTCTATGACACTTGCGGAACCATTCATTTAGATATATGGCAGTAAATGTAACAACATATTTCTGGGGACTAGGTCTATACTTACAGAGATGGAGTAGAGAAAAGATTCCAAGTTCTGTACCTGAACTTCAACCTTTGTTTTCTTGTAGCTAGCATTTTTGCTTAATCTTAAAAATAAAAGAAATTCCTAGAGGCATTTAAAAATGGACAAAAAATATGCCGCAGTAGCAGACAGGCTAAAAATCCTTTGCTTACTGCACAGACACTCCATAGGAACACTGGTTCATGTCCCTGGTTGCTCTGCTTAGGATCCAGCTCCCTGCTAATGCCTGGGAAAGCAGCAGAGGATGGTTCTAGTCCTTGGGACTCTGCATCCATGTGGGAAACACAGAGGAAACACAGAGGAAGCTCCTGGCTCCTGGTTTTGGATTGACTCAGCTCTGGCCATTGCGGCCATAATAAGGAGTGAGCCAACAAACAGAGGATGTCGCTGTGTCTGTCTCTCTTCTCTGTGACTGACTTTTCAAAGTAAAATAAATCTTTTTTTTTTAAAGATTTATTTCATTTTTATTGGAAAGGCAGATATACAGAGAGGAGAGACAGAGAGGAAGAACTTCCGTCCGATGATTCACTCCCCAAGTGAGCGCAACGGGCCGATACTATGCCGATCCGAAGCCAGGAGCCTCTTCCGGGTCTCCCACACGGGTGCAGGGTCCCAAGGCTTTGGGCTGTCCTCGACTGCTTTCCCAGGTCACAGAGAGGGAGCTGGAAGGAAAGCGGGGCTGCCGGGATTAGAACCGGCGCCCATATGGGATCCCGGGCGTGCAAGGCAAGGACCTTAACCACTGCGCCACCACGCCAGGCCCAAATAAATCTTTTTTACAACTAAAATGAACAAAAACTCCCGCAAAGACAATAGTTACTTTTGACTGAAGTGGAGGCAGCCATTCCAAACCAAAACCCAACAGTTGTGGTTGAGCTGCCTTATGCAATGCCAGCATCCCATGCGGGCACTGGTCTGAGTCCCTGCAGCTCCACTTCCCATCCAGCTCTCTCAGATGCACCTGGGAAAGTAGCAAGATATGGCCCAAGTACCTGGGCCCTGGTTACTCATGTGGGAGTCTGAGGTAAAGTTCCTGGCTCCTGGCTTCAGCCTGGTCCAGCCCTGGCTGTTGTGGCCATTTGGGGAGTGAATTTGTGGATGGAAAATCTTTTTCTTTCTCTCTCAAATTCTACCTTTCAAATAAATGAATTTTTTAAAAAAATTAAATTAAAAAACCAGCTATTATGCTACTGATATTAGATACAAGCAAAACCCAATTATTAACAAAAGCTGAAAAGCAGGCACGTGGCACAGCAGTTAAAATGCTGCTTGGGATTCCCAATCCTATATTAGAATGTTTTGTTTAAATATTGCCTTCACTTTTTTACAAAAATCTTTTTTTTTTTTTTTTTGTAATTGGAAAATCAGCTATACAGAGAGCAGGAGAGACAAAGAGAAAGATCTTCCATCCATTGATTCACTCCCCACGTGGCTTCAATGGCCAGAGCTCAGTCAATCCAAAGCCAGGAGCCAGGAACTTCTACCAGGTCTCTCACGCGGATGCAGGGTCCCAAGACTTTGGGCCATCCTTGACTGCCTTCCTAGGCCTCAAGCAGGGAGCTGGATGGGAAGCAGAGCCGCTGGGATTAGAACTGGCACCCATTTAGAATCCCAGAATGTGCAAGGCGAGGACTTTAGCTACTAGGCTAATGTGGTGGACCCTGGCTTCACTTTTAATTCTAGTTCCTGCTATCACACATGGGGATGAGGCAGGTGATGGTTTTGGGAGTTGGGTCCTTGCCACCCATGCCTGGGAGATGTAGATTAAGTTTCTGGTTCTTAGCTTTGGCCTGGTCCAGCCCTAGCTGCTGTGGACACTGGGGGAGTGACCCAGTGGCTGGAAAACTCTCCCTCTGTCTGTCTCCCTGCCTTTCAAATATAAAGAAACACATTAAAAAGGCTGAAAACAACAAAGCCTTTTAGGTGAGTGAAAACAAAAATAAGATAGCATTGAGAATGTTCATATAAGATTAAGTATTAAAGTGTTAAATAAGACAAAAGGATGTTATTTAAAAGCCTATAAAAGGTAAAATGTACAAATGAGACACAATCCAAAACATACACACACTAAACATCGTAGCAAGGCAAGACAAACCAAACACCTTAGAAGAGATAGGAAACAAGTATCTGAATGATGATGGTCATTTGCCATACCAGTGAGTTTGTTAGGGGCTGCAGTGTTATGGTGTCTGGGTTAGTCACCTCCTGTCACACCAGCACCCAACGTTGGATATGTTTAAATTATCCAATAGAGTCATAAATAGTGGAATGTTTGTATGATACAATACTACGCATGTAAGTATAAAATACCTGTATTTATCTATGTGTATATAGGCCCAGACGGTCTCTATAGAGTATTAAAGGCCAGTACGTGTCCCATCTGTTCCACTTTTCATCCAGCTTCCTTCTAGGGTCCATGAGAAAAGCAACAGAGGACGCTGCTCTCACATGGGAGACCTCCTCTAACACTATCTTGCATTCACTGTAATGTCCTATTGATCAGCACCTAATGTCCATTTTAGATTGTGTCCCCCCCAGAGTGTGACTGTCTAGTTTCTATCTGTCTTGAAATCTAGAACACTACTTGATACTTTAGCTAAAGAGACTGAAGGGAACTATGAATTAATTGGCATTTTAGATTTGGTAACTTGAGATTATCCTGAAGAGAAGATATCTAAAAGAAAATCATAAACAGCTCATGTGTGGCAGAGTGGAGTGCCGCATGCAAGGCATACTCACCGAAAACCACGTCAGATTTCGGCTAGCCAGGAAGAAGTCTTCTATTGTTGCACGTCTGTGGGACATTACAGCCTAAGATACATAGTGATAACAATATTAATCAACGCCAGTGGAGATACAACAGCCTAAACTGCTCCAAAGGTCTTTCAAGGAGATGGTTTTCACTCATCAGCAATTCCACTCTTCCCGTCTTCCTTTCTAGGGGTGGAACCCACAGCCTGAGCTACAGAGGAGGGCCCTGATTGTCGCCAAGGTGGAGACCACAGGCTCTTCCAGCGATCAGATCACAAAGCCATGTCCCCTCGACACTGCTCCTTGAGAAAACAGCATTGCCTTCTTTCTTTTTCCCAATCCACTAGCCAGTGCAATGGAATCTGGCAAAACCTGGGTTTAAATAGTGTGTGTGGCTCAATCAGAAATGGCAAATCTCACATGTAGCTCACATCTTCTGGGGACGGGGAGGTGGGTGGTGAGTAGAGAGTCACATGGCCATACAGGGCTCCTTCCAAATATTCCAGCTCTTTCCAGATCCGCTATGGCAAGAAGATAATATCGGGGATTTCCTGCCCAGGACAAGTTATCACCTAAGGATGAAAGCTGATGGATACAAGTGTTTTTCCATAGTGAAAGTGAACTACTGCCCTTACTAGAGGTTCTGCATTTTAACTGGCAATATTTTCATATCATAAAGTCTTAAACTAACCAAGCAACATATAGTAAGTTAATCTTACTTCATCAATTCAGAAAACATTTATGTAGTGCTTACCACATACATAGCTGACAATTTCTTTTTAAAGACTTTTTATTTATTTGATGGAGTCAGCACTGTGACGTAGCAAGTAAAGCCAACCAGCTTTGGTACCAGCATCCCATATAGTCACTGGTTCAAGTCCTGGCTCCTCCACTTCTGATCCAGCTACTGGAAAAGCATTGAAAAGGGCCCCAGCGATGGGGCCCCTGCACCCATGTGGGAGACCCAGAAGACCTTGGCTCCTAGCTTCAGATCAGTCCAGTTCTGGACATTGCAACCATTTGGGAAATAAACCAGAAGATGGAATATCTCTCCTCTAGCGCCCCCTCTCTCTCTAATATTTCTAGGTTGAAACAGTTAAAACAAACAAACAAACAAAAAAGGCAAAAAGTCCAAGGCACCTGTGTCCTGGCTTGCTCTCTTGCAAGAGGCAAAGCCTGAGTTGGAAAAACTCTCAGTCCCCACTGGGCTAGGTAGACCAGAAGTTCAAGCAAGGAGACCCGATGCCAATGTGGGAACAGGGAGATTTAAGTAATCAGGGGAAGAAAATAAAATGAAACTCCTGCCCTCCAGCCTATTAAAAAAAAAAAAAAGGTATATTTCAGGCATTCGGGACATTTTAAAACTTAAAAAAATCTACAAAAGTGCTGTGTAAAAGTTTAATAAATAATATTTGTACAAACTTGGAGCGAGGGAGGGGGGCAGAGGCTGGAGCAGAAAGTTTCCTAACCCAAGAAATCTAGAAAATACTGAGGAAAAGAGACAGAGAGGCTGACTCCTTCAAAAGGAACATTAGATTATATTATTAATTCTAATATCAAAAAAGATGTTATCAAGCACTGATCCTTGGCCAGGGGTGACTTATCCCAGACCCGCTAGGGAGCAGCTGGTAACACCTGGAGACACTTTTGACAGCTACAAATGGGAAGAGAACAAGGTTTTAAGTATCTTATATCACATCGACAGGTCCTGCACCCCAAGGAATTAATTATCTGGTCCCAAGTGTCTGCAGTGCTGAGGGCTGACACTGATGTAGACACGTGACAGCTGGGACCGAACGTATCAGGGGTTCAAATCACAGACAAGTTAGCAAAGGGCGAGTCAAGCCACTGCATGAAGACATGCGCAGAGAGGGACGAGCTCGCCTCGTGGTTAAGACGCTTGTTAGGATGACTGCAGCCCACATCAGAGGGCCTGGGTTCGATTCCCAGCCCTGGCTCCTGGTTTTGCATTCTCATTATTAAAGACTCAACTCTCCCGATTACCTCTCACATTTGAAACATATCTGTGTACCTGTGTACATGTGCGGGTGCCTGGGTGTGTGTCTTGCCCTTCTAATCTAGAAATTGCAATTTCTGGGGTCTATACCGCCCAAGTGAAATGTGCGAACGCATTAAACAAAAGTGAAAAAGCAACCTAAGTGTATGTTCATTGGAAAAAAAAAAACTGCCCGTGTGTATGAAATGATCCCTTGGTGTGTGTGTGTGTGTGTGTGTGTGTGTGTGTGTGTGTGTGTGACTATACCACACAAAAGCACTGAGAAAAGGGTCACATGGACACAGAGCTCTGCTCCCTGTAACATTCCATCTTACCCTGTCGGTTGCCTAGAGATGAGACTGGATGGGAAAAGAATGCTAACGTCTGTAAATATTTATATACCTTTTGCTTCTCACAATGAGCAGGCAATACTTGGGTAAGTAACAATGCCACATATGATTTGTTTTGTTTTGGAATTAAAATTAGTATATGTCTTTTATTTGCTTGAAGTAATTAAAAGAGTTATTTTGTCCCTATAATCTAGAAAAGTGCATTGTATTTATTTTTTATTTTTTTGCATTTCATTTTTTTTATTATTAATTACATTGCATTATGTGACACAGTTTTTTAGGCACTGGGATTCCTTCCACCCCTTCCTAAACCCTCCCCGCATAGTGGGTTCCTCCACATTATCACAGTTTAAGTTCAGTTGAGATTCTTTCATTGCAAGCATATACCAAGCATAGAGTCCAGCATCTTACTGTCCAGATAAGTTCAACGGCTTCTTGGGGAGACCTTCTCTGGTCGGAAGGCAGAGCTGGCAGAATATCACCCCGATCAATTAGAAGCCCCAGCACCACATCAACAACAATTTACAGCATTATGGAATTAATTGACATAGTATTGAGTACCCAACATGTCAAAAGAAAAAAATGCAAGTTCTTAACTACATCTTGTGACTTCTTCATTGACATTTCAATTTTAGTTTATATACAACCGGGTTCTATACACCTTAAAAAGGTTATAGATCATTATTCAGCTGTCTCGTGTCTAGTTTCATTATAGTATTTAGCATTTTATAGCGTTGAAGCATAATTTTGCTGAACCTGGCTGTTTTTCGGGCAGTCTAGACTGGCTTATGACTCTAACAAGGCATATGTCAACAGTTTAGGTGAACAGTTTTAGGAGGGGTGTGCAGAGAAATCTTCAGTACCCTAGTGAGGAGTAACTAATCTTGCCACATATGACTTGTAAAGAGAATCAGGGGGGCAGGCGTTCAGCCTGGCGGTTAAGACGCTGGGCGAGACCCCCTTAGCCTCCATCATGAAACCTGGGTTTCATTTCCTCCTCCACCTCCTGACTCCAGCCTCCTGCCGCTACAGGCTCTGGGAAACACAGCAGGTGACAGCGATTGCCTTCCTGCCATGCCTGTACGGGACCTACACTGCGTTCCAGGCTCCCAGCTTCAGCTTGGCTCAGCCCCAGCCCTCGCAGGCATTTGGGGAGTGACTCAGCACATGGCGGTTCATTTGCTTTTTCTTTCTCCTTTCAAATAATACTATCTTAAAAACAAACAAACAAAAGAATCAAGGGAAAGAAAAATATAAAGAAATGAACCAAAGCATGCGGGGCATCTAGTCATATTGTATGATCACCAGAACATAGGAGACGGAAGGATTCCTTTGAAGGTGATCAGATGACTTACTGGTCCTCTGACCTTGGCCAAGTTCAAGTCCACGTAGGGCCAAAAATCAAGCTGTGTGTGGGATTCCTAATTCAGTTAAGAGTACAGGAAAATAGCAGTTCACTATTCAGAAACCCCTGCCTAGGCTATCTGGAAGGACATTTCTCAGAATTGAGACCAGTGGGGGAGGTGAAGGGAGACCTCATCTGAATAAATAACCCAGCTGTTCCTTTTATACTTTGGAATGAAGAGTCTGTTTTCTGTTTCAAAATTCTTTTACTAGGCCTGGTGCAGTAGCCTAGTGACTAAAGTCCTCGCCTTGCACACTCTGGGATCCCATATGGGCACCAATTTGCATCCCGGCAGCTCCACTTCCCTTCCAGCTCCCTGCTTGTGGCCTGGGAAAGCAGTCGAGGACAGCCCAAAGCCTTGGGACCCTGCACCCGTGTGGGAAACCCGCAAGAAGCTTCTGGATCCTGGCTTTGGACTGGCTTAGCTTTGGCCATTGTGGCCACTTGGGGAATGAACCAGCAGATGGAATATCTTTCTGTCTCTCCTTCTCTCTTTTGTAAATCTGACTTACAAAAAAAAAAAAATCTTTTACTAGGCTGGAGTCCATGTCTGCCCATGACAGGTGCCCACTGGCAGCATAATGATCCATTGTAAACTCCCTGGGGTGATCAATCACACTGCTAAGGACCAAATGTAACACAGTACGGTCCTGTTCCTGCCCTGGTAATACACCCCAAAGTGAAAGTCACATGTGGTTGCAGGAATTTCAGCTGAGTTGGGGCTGCCCAACTGGAAAACTGTCCCATGGTAACCACTGGTGGCAACCTGACACGCGAAGCTCTGGTCTGAGAGTGGCACTCAAGGAGAGCTTAAAGCAACTCCGGAAGGGTCCAATGCAATGGCTTCATTGACTAATCCACCCCTGCAAGCGCCAGCATCCCATATGGGTACAGGTTCGTGTCCTGGCTGCTCCAATTCTGATCCATAGCCCTGCTTATGGCCTGGGAAATCAATGGAGGATGGCCCAAAGGCTTGGGACCCTCCACCTGCCTGGGAGAGCTGGAAGAAGCTCCTGACTTTGGATCGGCTCAGCTCTGGCCATTGTGGTCATTTGGAGAGTGAACCAGAGGATGGAAGATTTCTCTCTCATCTGTTTCTCCTTCTGTCTGTAAATATGCCTTTCCAATAAAAATAAACAAATCTTTTTTTAAAAAGGCAACCTTGAGAAAAGAAAATACAGGCTCTTCATTCAAATGTGAAAGACACATTTTAGAGGCCTAAGCTACACAGGACTAGCAAGGTAAGAGTGGCAAATCAGGCAGATGGCTTCAGGGACCAGTCTGGACTCAGTTATTCCTGAGTTGCTACAGCCACCTCTCTGAACCTCAGTTCGTGTAACAGAATTGGCCCCGAGTGTCCCCCCAGAGGCAATAAAATCTGGGAATGTTCAAGTCAGTACATTTAACCAAGAAGCTTTTCCCATCTACTTTAAATCCTAACACAATGCAAATGCTCACTAAATAATGGTCACACACACCCCCCACGCCCCTGCCGTATCATTACTATGGCCGTTGTCATCTCCCTGGGACTTGGGACTAGCCGAGGAAGGCCTTCCCCTCACATCCTGCACTCGTGCTGCAGGCAGAGTGGTCCGAGGGAGGGATGGACAGCCCTGGCCCTGTTCCTTAATTTTGGGGAGGGTATGTGAGGGTCTGGGCCTTTGCACTGTGGAAATGCTCTCGCTTTGGTCACAAAGTGAAGGAATTAAGCAAAGGGACAAAAATGAAGAAGAGGGGTTAAGCACAGGGAGGGACGTGAGGTCTAGGCCAGGGACCGGGTCGGACACGAGGAAGGGGAGCGGAGGGCTGGGATTGCCCGAGGGGTGCACCGGGGCAAGGGACAAACCCACGCAGCCACCCCGGGCTCTGTCCATACCCACAGTCCGAGGACCAGGACCAACAGGAAGTAGAACGTCATCACCACAGAGTCCGCGGTGTCGTAGACGCCGATGTCCACAGCGGTCCAGTTGGAGACGATGAAACCCTGCCCAGGCTTCGGGGTGCTCATGGCGCCACTTCCCGCGCGGCTCACGGCGCCCGACGAGCGGCCGCGGCTTCAGCTCGGGCTGGGTTCTCCACAGGGCAGCTCTCGGGGGGCCGCTGGCCGTCGGGGGGATCCTGTCAGGCCCTGCCGCCCAGGACCCTGTTCCCTTCTTCCTGGCCGGGGCCTGGCAACGGCTTCACCTCCGTGGCCGCGGGGCACCTGAGGCAGGGCCGCGGGGCAGCCTGGGACTTCCGGCCGGCCTTGGGGTGACCTCGCTGCTGCTGCTGCTCGGATTTGTGCGAAATGCAAGGAGCGACTTGGGGAGTCTTGCAGCTGAGGCAAGCCTGAGCTGAGGCGTCTGCAGAGCCGTTTGGGGAACCTGCGGCTTTTCCAGAGCCAACAACAGGGCTGCCGTCTGAACTCCCCGTCTGGACGTTGTCGACGCATTAAAATACCGTGCCGGAATATTATTTTCTCATCGTCTGAGTGAACCAAGGTAAAGGTCTCGCTGGCCTCTCTTTGTAGCCCCTTCTCTGAAATTCTGTCTTTGAAATGGAAAGAAATCTTTTTTTAAAGAAAAGAAAAAGAAAAAGCAGATTAACAAGTTGTTCTAAACATACTTAAATGCTTTCCTAGAAATAAATTCAATGTAACCTTGATCTTCCTTGAATCAACAGCGAAACGGGTTCATCTTTTTCAAAGCATTGATTTAACTTTGAAGCAAAGCATATTAGTTGTAAAATTATGTCTGGTCTGATCAAGTAAATTCACTAACGTGTATTAACTCAATATTATCAACAATGGATTAAAAAGTATTTTTTATATTGTTCAATGTCACAAAATGTGCTTAAGCTTTTTCACAACCGGAAACTCTTTGGTGTATCGATTTGTGTTGGGAGAATGTCTATAAATTATTGTGATTGACGTGTGTCGTCAAACGTTTCAATTGCAGCATAACTTTTCACACCGCGTGGTTAAGGTCACAGATCAAGTTTTCCTTTTCTTGGCTGGTTTCATGGAACTCATTCATGGATGGTACATGTCAGTGAGAAATATCCCCCCTTCTTGGGGATGAATTGGGTGTGCACGTATGTGCATCCACATGCTCTCGTTTTCTCTCTATTATCGTCTAACCAGCGTCAGCCGGTTATTTCAGCGGGTGCTTCAGGATTTGTCATCTCGATTTGAAGCAGCCTCGTTGACCTTCGAGGGCTTCATTCACATCCCATCCGCAAGCGTACACTGCCATTTCCTCCCTTCTTTCGAAAATTATTCTCATGCGCTGTATGTTTGTTACAAATGGGATGTTTGGATTAATAAGAGGCTTTTATTTTCCCAACTAGCATTTAAATGATAAGAAACAAATATTTACGTTGTCCCACGTGGCTGCCATTTCTGGCAGTCCTCACCATTCCAGATTTCCATCTGATGTCATTTTTTTTCTGGCCTGTGTATTTTTTCTTGAATATTTCATTTGTGTTATAAGTCTTGGCATTGTTGTTTCAGCTTTAGTAGGTCTTGAAAACCCATTTTTTTTTTCCCCCTCTAAGGTTTATTTTATTTGAAGGGCAGAGACAAAGAGAAGGGAAGAGAGAGATCTTGCATTGACTTGCTCATTCCTCAGCCGGTCACAGTGGCTGGGCTGCGCCACGGTGAAGCCAGGAGCCTGAAGCTCCGTGTGTGTCTCCCATGTGGATGGAAGGGTCGTTAGTTTTGCCTGGTGCATTACTGGAGCTGGGTTGGAAGCAGAGCAGACAGGGCTAGAACCAGCACCGAAATGGGATGTCAGTGAGGCAGGCATTGCTGTGCCGCGATGTCAACCTTCAAAATCTTCAGTGTGTTTTTTTTTTTTTAAGATTTATTTATTTTTATTGGAAAAGTAGATCAAATGTACTGGCGCGGGTATAGTGACTCAGTGGCCAAGTCCTCCCCTTTGTGGGCCTGACGCAACGGCTCAGTGACTAAAGCCTTGCCTTGCAAGCACCGGCATCCCGTATGGGCACCAGTTCCTGTTCTACCTGCTCCACTTCCCATCCAGCTCCCTGCCTGTGGCCTGGGAAAGCAGTCGAGGACAGCCCAAAGCCTTGGGACCCTGCACCCGTGTGGGAGACCTGGAATAAGCTCCTGGCTTTGGATCAGCTTAGCTCTGGCTGAGACCAACAGGGCCCGTTGAGCTCTTAGCCACACCTTCAGATGGGTGGCACCAGCATCGCCCACCCATTTTCTAATGAATTAAGAGACCACCAATGGGGAACAGCTCACCTATAGGTTCCCCACCCAACAAGGGGAGGGGGTCAAGGAAGACTTAAAATCCCAAGACCTTTCCTCAAACCTTTGGTGTCTCTCTCCTTCGTCTTTCGAAAGGCACCCCACCTCCCACCTCCCACCTCCCACCTCCCACCTCCCACCTCCCACCTCCCACCTCCCACCTCCCACCTCCCAGTTTTCTCCCCAGAGGTGCTTCCCTTCCCTTCCCTCCCCTGCTCCCCTGGTCCCTTCGCAAATAAACTTTTCTGTTTGCAACAGATTCCCGGCTTTTTATTTCTATACTAAGCTGAGGAAAGAACCCACGGGGCGCTTCTGGTAACAATATCCTTTTTTTAAAGATTTATTTATTTATTTTAAGATTTATTTTTATTATTTTTTTATTGGAAAGGCGGATATACAGAGAGGAGGAGAGACAGTGAGAAAGATCTTCCGTCTGATGATTCACTTCCCAAGTCAGCGCAACGGCCGATGCTATGTCGATCCGAAGCCAGGATCCGGGAACTTCTTCTGGGTCTCCCACACAGGTGCAGGGTCCCAAGGCTTTGGGCCGTCTGCGACTGTTTTCCCAGGCCACAAGCAGGGAGCTGGATGGGAAGCAGGGTGCCAGGACATGAACAGGCACCCATATAGGATCCCGGCGGGTGCAAGGCAAGGACTTTAGCCACTAGGCTACCGCACCGGGCCTGTTAGGTTGCTTCTTATTACCTCAAGCAGGCGCGTAAGTCTCTTCCCTGCCACTCCATACTGGCCTATAGTTTTGTTTTCTTAGAACATCTTTATTGAGACGTCGATCCAGTTAAGTGCACGCTCATTTACAGGAGCATGGTTTGAGGTTTGCTTTGACCCCAAGGGGCTCTACTTAGCTGTGTCGGTTCTTGCTTCTGTCTGGCGAATTAGCCGGTGCGTGATTCAGCCTGTGTCTCTAATGACGCTACTGGTCTTCTCTTAATTGCTCTTTCTCACAAGCTCTGTTGTTTTGAGAGTTCCCTTAGGTTTCAGCTACCTCACACTCCGTTATAAATAAAGTCAACTCACTGGGGATGGGCTTCAGAGCTCTCTTATTTCGTACCATTTTACAAAGTTGCGTTTCTTTATTTGAAAGGCGGAGTGACAACGTAGACACGTGCGCAGATCTCTTTGCTGATTCACTCCCAGCTTGCCCACAAAAGCTAGGGCTGGCTCAGGCCGAGGACAGGACCCAGGCGCACCATCCTGGTTTCCAACGTGGGTGGCATCAGCCCAAGCGTTTGGGCTACCTTCCCTTGCCCCTCTGAGGTGCGTTAGGGGGGAGCTGGCTCAGAAGCAGGCGTCGGCACTCTGATGGGGACACAGGAACCCCAGACGGGAGCTTAATCCGCTGAACCGCACGCAGCAGCTGACCTCAGCACTCTTGTTTTATGTCCTGACTTTCCTCCTAGGGAAGAAAACAAAAACAACCCCCAGGTACAGTTCAAGGGCTGGGAGTGGGGCGACAGCAGCTTCTCAGAGTGACACCCCTGCGTCAGGAGTCGGGTGCTTGTTGGGGTTCTTGCTTTCTGGGTAAGCCTGGTCCCGGGAGTGAATGCCCCTGTGTTCTCAGCGTGCTGTGCCCAAGGCAGAGCCTCCGTCCACTGCTAGTGGCTAAGCGGCTAAGTTGCAAGCCAGTCCCACATGCAGCTGGACCGGCAGGAAAATGCTGGTGAGTTACTCCTGCTGAAAGAATGTCTCAACCCCAGGCTGGAGCTGAGTGGACACAGTGCCCTCCTTCTTGGCTGCACACCCTTTGCCTGGCATGGGGCTGCTGTCGCCTCAGGCTGGCACTGGGGAGGAAGGGATACGCCATGGTTGAAATGTTCACTTTTCCTATCCTTGCCAAATTTTAGATCACTCTGAATAAATAGTGTGTTGCCCTGAGGGCTGTTGGGGGACGGGGCGGGACCCTAAAAGTTCAAGGGAAGTGGTCGTTTTGTTTTTTAAGATCTTCCATCCTTTGGTTCACTTCCCAAATGACTGCAGTGGCTAGAGCTAAGCGATCAAAACCAGGATGCAGGAACTTCTTCCGGGTCTCCCACGCAGGTGCAGGGTCCCAAGGCTTTGGGCCGTCCTCGACTGCTTTCCCAGGCCACAAGCAGGGAGCTGGATTGGAACTGGGGCAGCCAGGACACCAACTAGTGCCCATGTGGGATTCCGGATCTTGCAAGGCGATGATTAGTCAATTGAGCTATTGCGTTGCGCCCTAAAGTTCTATTTTAATAACTTTTTAAGGAACTTTTGGGACTGTCTTAAAACATCTTCACACACACACATGCACATACACAGTTGCTATCTTGGAAATGCAACACCTCTCCCCTCCCACATACGTTGTAAAACTCCTGACGTGGATGCCCTAGTAGGTTTTACTCTGTAAGGACACTCCAAAGGGGAAGCCCCAGGGAGTCAAACCTCCCACTCTTTTATTACTTAACTGCATTTATTGGAAGACAGAGATGCAGAAATATAGAGAGCTCTCCCATCAACTATTCCATTCTCCAAAAGCCCAAGACAACCAGGGCTGACCAAGTTGGAGCTCAGAGTTTCTTATGGGTCTCCCACGCGGGTGGCACGGCTTCAAGCACACAGACCATCACCTGTGCATACTTGGAGTTGGGAGTGGATCCATCACTCAAAATCCACACCCTCTCATACGGGATACGGGCTTCCCTAGTGATGTCTTAACCACCATACGAAATATTCATACACACACCTCCCATCCCCCGACCTGGTTCTCAAATTGGAAC